TTGAAGGCATGTGGAAGTTCAGACATGTCAGCTATGTCGAGGCATTTTCTGTGATAGAAATGTAAAGCAGTCTTATTCTGTCAATTACTGCTTTAATTTAACTCAACCTGCATCATGTGTGTGTTTCTCCTCACGCTGCTGTAGACTCTGCAGAGCGCTACTTTGAGCAGAGTCTAAGTGCATACAAAAACTCTGCAGGTCCACAGGATCCAGCCTTTCTCGCGGCCCAGGATGATTTCTGTCGTTTCCTCCTCCTCAATGGCCAGCAAGAGGTTACACACACTCACAAACTCACACACTTGAAAGAACAGTGAGACAGTGCCACTACATTTATTTCCTACAGGCATAGACGTCTAATATTTTTGCTCATGCAATTTTGAAACCCACAGCAGATTTTGATTATCCACACAGAGAGCGGCACCATGGAAACACCCTCAGAGTTTGTGAACGTCAGGGGATTTTTTCCACCTGCTAAACAGGGTGGGGCTCTCACCACTGATCTCTGATAGAGATGATATATCTATTTGGTGCCACTCAGTGTTAGGAGGGTTACTTTTCAAACGTATTCCACTACAGATTACTGAATACATACCCTAAAATGTCATTTGTAACATATTCTATTAGATTATTCAAACACTCTAAATACGTTGGATTACTTCTGGAATACTTTAAAATTGTCTTGTTGAGCTAATTCGCTAATTCTGGGTCTTATGTTTCCATGCCAGAAACACACAGCAGTGTCCTGGCAGTGCATCTCCTTTGCCATTGTCATGTGGCAGGTGCACTGCACACACATTTACTTGTGGGAAATACATGCCTCATAAACTTTACACCGTGTCCTAACAGCAAGCTAGCAAGCAGCTGTCAAATAACACATTTCAGTTACATCATGTTAAACAAACCTCGTAGGCCACCTATTAGCTGTATATATAACCATTTAAAAGATTAGCAAGTACCGTCTTACTGTTTTTGTATTTGTAAACAGAAAACACACATTTTATATTGTGTAAGTAGCTTGTTAGTAGCAATGGTCATTTACAAGAATCTTTCAGCTCCCTGGCGACCCCACCTCCAGCCAGCTGCCACCGTATATAGGTTGAGGTAATTAAGTAAGAAGGTATGGTATGATATAGATGGATTGATATAGATTCTGTGTCCGTCACAGTGCTTTTGAAGCGAGCGACAAGACTAAATAGAAACAGAGCATCTGACAAAAGTTCAGGTCTCATATGACAGCAGTGTGTTGTGCTGCGTTGAATTTAGAACATCCCAGTAGAAAATAATACAATCAAAGTGACACTTGCCTGTGTCCCGTTCAGTTAGGACATGGTGTTACAGCAAAATCCATTCAAATGAAGACATTAACTGTATTCAAAATACCAAAATACATCAAAAATTGTATTTTAATACATAATGTCGTTGTATATTCCTTTACTCCCCAACCCTGGTGCCATTACAGAGATGTGTTGAGATCCAGAGAGCGTCTCTCGCCACAAAGAGATCTACTTTCGGTGACCTGAGCGCTGAGGTCGCAGACACCCTTCAGCTGATCGGAAGTGTGGAGATGAGTGAGGGCAGGATGAAGCAGGCGCACAGGACCATGACAAAGGTGATCACAAGCTACAGAACACAAACAGGACAACTAATGTTTCTCTTGGCTGCAACCTGTATGCGCATATCAGAAATGCTGGACAGGGTAGAACGTAATACCGTCTCTGCCCAAAGTATTTGACAGGGTTTAATAAAAGGCCAGGAGTCAGCAGGCGTGTCCATCTACACCAGTGAAAGGCCAGTTCATAATATACACACACAAAGAGTCCCTGTCATATTGAGACGAGCTATTTCCGCCATCGTCCCTAAAGCTCAGTGCTATCAGAGTCGCATGCTAATCTTGGAAGGGTTCAGTGTGCGGAGCAGCCCTCCCTGGTGTAAAATATCACACACAGTGACTTTGTGTTTCCTCAGTCTGGATGGAGCCTGGCAGATGGGCAACACAACTTTGGAAGGAGAGTGGCAGTTGCTAACTGCTGTCAATTAAAGGGACACGGACCCCAATTAGTGAGGCACGCCATTATGTCCTTTGAAACAAAAATGACATTCCTGTGTCTTTCAGCACACATGTATTAAATAAACAGAGGCGTTTTAGTTAATCACATAATCCTCTGTTGCTATGACTGATTTACTTTATTCCTTATGTAATGTGTTTCACATACAGTATGACTGCACGTTTGCCATATGAGCTCAGTTCTGCCGCTCATCAAACTAAAATACACCAGTAAAAGGGGGTTTCTTCATGCTAGTAATAACATGCCTGTAAGTAAAGGAGCTCGGTTGCTATGTTGTTTTGTTGTGACATCTAAGGGCAGAGGGGGCCCAAGTCCCCCTCTGCACTGACAGCGCACATCAGGGCTCACTCTCTCCACACCACATCCAACCAGTAACCTTTGTGAAGCACCCTGACATGGAGCAGATATGTGAGGACGTTTTTTTCCTGTCATCATGACACCATCTGCAACCTGACTGAGTAACTTTTGTTTTTCCAAAGGAAACCTGGCTCAAACAGTAGATACAGAACATACAACCTACAAAGAAAAACACAGAGAACAATGGCACACACACACACAGACATACACTTGACATTTCCCCCTTTTTTTCTGTAGCACTGCTGAAAAAAAAAGCCCTTCCATTACATCAACCTTAGCAACAGCGAAAACATCCAAGAGGCCAGATGGATGTGTTCCAGATTACAGAGTGTTTTACTCTCCCTGGTGAAGAGGGAAACTTTTACCTCCCACTTTCCCTCCTTCAACGAAGTTCTCTTGACCTCTTATTTATGACATTATCAGAAACAATGGCAGGCTTTTATCATGTCTGTTGCGTAACTGTGTGCACACGCTGTGTTATCAATCATACACATATGTTTGTGGTTTAAAGTTGAGACTTTTCTGGATTCTGTAAATTAAGCAATATTTTGTGATGTCATAAAGCTGAGCAGTCACTGCTCATTACTCTCATATGATTGGACCTAAATCATATGAGAGAAACTAAATGTAGAGTGGAAAAATACTCAGGCTGCGTCTTAAAGTTGTCAAGTTAATTACCTCAGATTCCTGGGTTGTTGATTTAGGAGCCCTCATTTAAATCTAGCATATCCCCCTTGTTGACCCGACACTCCGAGCGGTCAGCACAGGTGTTATCTAAACCTTAGGCTGCAACAGAGGTTATTTTGGGATGTTTGGTGCATTCACATGTTGCTAGGAAGTGTTTACTCCCCTCTGAGTGTGAGTTGTGCCTCTCATCTTTCACTGACCACTCACTGTGCTATCATTAATGTTTTTTTTTATTTTGATTATTAGTGTGTGGAGATCCAGTGTTTGTTGTATGGTCCTCAGCACAAGAAGACAAAAGCTACACAAAAAGCTGTGGACATGCTTGCAAGGTATGAACTAATGAAACTGTACTGTATCTTATATTAAGGCATTTGATTCTCCTGGTGATGAATTAAAGCAACTGATGTATTTACTGTAATAGTACGAGCAGGGTTCCCACAGTCACATAAAACTCTTTTCCAGGCCTTGAAATGGTTTGGAATTAACAGAATGTTTTGAGAGAAGTTTGAATATGCTTTGCTTTGGCTATTGTTTAAAACATGTTTAAAAAAATCCTAAAATATGTCTAACATTATCCAAAATGTGTTTCTTGTGTTACTGATTTAAAATCTAGTGCTGCGCTGCTTGACCACTGAAACGTCACAAGTATCATGTGATCCACATAGACCGGATCGGTGGTCATCGCTAAGGCCGCACCCCCTTTTGGGGGAAGATGTGCAGTCACATAAGGAGAGAAACAGGAAAATGTCAGAAACCTCTTGACCGAGGCTTTCACACTGAGATTTAAGGCACATAAGATACCTTAATGCTCACTGTATGTGTGGTACATCACTACTTTAAATGATGCTTGTGACAGATGGATAGCTAATGTTAGCTTGAGTGGGAGGCTGCTGCAGTACATTCAGCATAGCTGCATCTGACTGTCATCTCCAACTGAATGTAAGTCTAACCTATTTTAAACATGTGGCTATTAGCAAGTTATTTCTTTACAGACAACCCTGAGCCCAACGTGATCATCAGGTATTGTCATCCAGGGATCTGTAATATCCGGCCACTGTGTTGGGTCATTAATCCACTTGGATGTAGGAAGAATGACGGGACATGACAGCAGTCAACCTTAATTTATACGCACAGGTTCAGGCAAGGTTGTTTCACAAGAAATAAATGGATACAAATGTGTTAAAAATTATAGTCCAAAAACACAAAGAGTTGCAATGAAATTTAAAGAAACATTTTTAATCCCCCCAAAAGGGGCGTGGCCTTTCCATTATGCAAAGTACCCATATATGTAGGTCTGGTCTGTTGGCATTTGCAACTAGTTGGCGGCAGGAATGTCAAATGAGCAAGTAAATTTGTTGAGCACTAGCAGTTCGCTTATCTGCAAATAATAATGTATGGTTGTATTACTATATAGAACTGCTCATTTTTAACTTCTTGAATTAAGTTATGGAAAATGGGGTAAAATATAATGGAAGAGTTTAGAAAATTCGTCTGTAAAAATGTGTGGGAACCCTGTATTATTAAATTAGAGGAAAAGATGACAGACAAGTGCATGTTTTAGTCACACAACCATGTGATGTTTGTTTTGCAGGGCACCAGAGGTGGCTGAGAGACAGCAAAGGCAAGGTACAAGGAAAACAAAACGTCATACACTCTCAGCATCCTGTGGCCTTGATGGAAACTCAATGTCTGACTCCTGACTGGTTCTTTTATGCATGTGTATTTTGACCAAGAACTACTTTCATTTTTTAAGTTTGTCTCTCATATGCAACAGGCAGCTACCACTGCTGAGAACGTGCTCCAAATGCACATATCATGTCCAATCATGTCATTTTGTACATTAAGTGAAGTAAGTTAGCTAAGCTTTAAAGAAATACTCACACTCAGAAATCATACCCACAGTAGGTTTTAATTGTGTCAAGATATGAATCAATTTCCAAAGAAGGGCTGGAACCTTTTTCACCAAAGCAATAATGTCATTTGTTAAATAAAAATCATGTTATGTCAATAAAAGCAATGATGTTGGACTATCCATGGTGACAAACAAGATTTGACTCAATACACATTCTTCATACATCATTAGATTTTCTGTATGCTTTTTTTATGCTATGAAATGGCACATCCAGGTTACACTGTGTACATACACACAGCAAGTTAACAGATTCCTTAGTAAAGGGACAGTTCACCCCAAAATCAAACATTTTTCCTCTTATCTGTAGTGCTATTTATCAGTCTAGACTGTTTTAGCAAGTGTTGGAGATACTGGCCATAGAGATGTCTGCCGTCTCTACAGTATAATGGAACTAGATGGCACTCTGCTTGTGGAACTCAAAGCACCAAAAACATCCATTTGAAAACTCGACAGCAGCGTCTCTTTGCAGAAACCATTGGCACATCCAGTTCTATTTTATTTTGAGAGAAGGTACATCTCTACAGCTGATAGCTCAGACACTTGACGACTCACACCAAAATGTTATAGATTGAGAAATGGCACTACAGGTAAGAGGAAAGGTGTTTTTGATTTTTGGGTGAACTGTCCCTTTAAGCCACAATTTAAGTGCACTGATGTAATAGTATTTTGGTTGAACTTTCTGCAGTTTACAGGTGAGAATTTGCTGTATCCGGGCACTTAAATGCAACAAGTCTTTTTGGATGAGATGTCATTCAATAGATTTAAAACAAAGAACATATTTATAAAAGCATGGCATTCACACTAAACATTGCTTTATGCACAATTGTTCAACAAGTTAGTGCTAACAAGCCAATCTGTGAGGACATTACCCAATAGTAACAAAGTATACATTTTCCAGCCAGTTACACAAAATGTGAAAGGCATGTAGCCAGACTGAAATCATAGTGGACCGTTTCTGCCTCTGCAGCTAGTACACACAACACAACAAACCATAATGAACAGTCAGTCAATACCACTAAGCTGATGATCCAAAAATAGTCACGGTCATGGACACACTGGTATGTGTGAGCAAAGGTGAATCCTTCAAGCCAACACTGTGATAACAACAAACGTCTACAAGCAAAATGGCGTCCAAACAAGACTCACTGTACATCAAAAACACATGTGACTATATTTCCTTTAACAACACCATCACTGAATCCTTTTAATTCATTAAAGGTATACTGTGCAGGAATTTTCTTAAAAACAGTGTATAGACTCATACGGAAGTAATCCCTCTTGGTCATTACTTATGACCCACTAGAAGTGTGTGGTGGTGTATTTATATACAGAGACTCTGCTCTCTCTGTATTGGAACATATATTGGGACATTTCTGGGCACAGCGTGCGATGAGGTCGTGACATTACAAAAACGTAGTGACCAGGTGCCAGAACACAAGCAGCATGCATCCAAGACGAAGCTGTGGAAATTGCGCACACAGGGCAAAAAACGCAAGTATAGCTTTCAGCAGTTTCTTTGGTGATACTGCTTATGAACAGTAGGCGGCAATTCCTGCATAGTATACCTTTAATTTTCCATTACCTCTTTTCATTCTTCATTCTTTCATCTCACTATTTGCTTTTCAAATTGACAACCTTTTTTAGTGTTTCCCAAATCACATGTTCAGATCAAAATGGTCGCTGTTGGGAAATTTGAAATGTATGGTATGGACACACACCATGTAAAGATACACATTTTACAAACACATTTCACTATGGTAACATTGATCATCTAATCTTGCTTTGGTCATATAAGGGGCGATTATTTTTTTCTATGTGTTAGATGAGTGGTTCCCAACTGTTCCATCCTCAGGGTTAAGATTTGTCCTTAGTCATTAGTTCAAGGTCCACACAGTTTAATACATTTGGTACATTCTTGCTTTTGGCCATGTCTTTGAACTAGTTTGCTGTTTCTGTCAAGTAGCTATCTGTTAGTCACTTACTCTACAGCAGGAAACAGCAATTCAAAATAAAAGGTCCATTCAGAATAAGCCAGCAACCCACTGTTGGACCACGACCCACCAGTTGGGAACCACTATTGGATTTTATAATTGTGAGTAAATTTTAAAAATCTGAAAATAACCAACTTTGTAAGTTACCTAACAACCACTTTTAAGTGCCACATTTACCTGCACTACTCTCTGATATTAGCATTCAAAACTTGCTACGTTTCTTAAGACAAATCACCACCTTTTCCCCACTTCCGCTGTACTATCCTCAGCTACAAGCTTCACTATACTCTGTACACTATATTCTGACTACTGCTTCAAATAAGCTACCGTGTTCCAGGATGCAGTATATACTAAAACAATTCCATTTGGCAGCAGTGCCCAAGTCAAAAGAAAAATGAAAGCCACAATCTGCAAATAGCTCACAGCACCTCATAACTCCAACTGGCATATGTTGGCTTGCCAAAGATTCAACACCATGGCAGACACATGATGTGATGGCTGGTTTGATGGGGTGTTGTAAACTGCAGAAAGGGCTGTTTAAGATGTACAGCACAGGTTAGTACAAAAATAGAGAAATCTAGAGAGAGTAAACAAACCTCCTTGAAGATGAACTGCAAGCTGTAAAAATGTTAACACATACCAGCGCAGCACTCCATTAGTATCGACCAGCATGGAAAGTTGCCACTATACGGAGATGTTACAATCCTACTGCAAACTAGCAAATATTAGTTAGCACTCAGTATCTGTAATAGTAGCATTGCCACAGTTAATACCATTAAAAATATGCGTTCATCAGATCAGTGTAACCAAACGTTAGGTACACTGAGTTTTAGGTGGCACAGTCTAAGGTACAGTAAAAGAGCGCAGCAAAATCAGTTAGATGTAAAATGTTTTGCAGAGCTTAAAGCATTATTACAGTGTCTGCAACCAGCATTAACGCCTTGTGTGTGTGGAGTGCTGCGTCAGGAAAACCTCTGTAATGTGCACTTCAACAAGTTACATTGGCAAGTACTCAGTTTGAAAATATTTCTGACCAAATTCTTTCCTAATCATCTGTCGGGCTTTCAAGGTATATTGTTGCAACTCTCTCCTCTTCCGAAATCATCATCGGGGTCTTTTGCGGTGAGGTCGCCTCAGCGTGGCCGCCCTGTGCGCCCATCTGAAAGGTAAAGGACTTTTCTGATGGCCTCAGTGTTATGTGTTTCTCAGTAATTTCAGATGCAGACTCTCCTTCATCAGTAAAGCCTTGGAACTCTTCACCATACCCCACATCCTCTTCTTTGGAGACCCTGACACTGTATCCCCCTCCTGCCCCACCCTGGAAGGCTTTCCCCAGGTTAGAAGATTTAAGAGCTGCCATGATCTGCTCTTCAGATATATCACCTCCTGCCTCCAACAGCCCAGAGTCTTCCAGGGTTTGAGAGACGTTCAGCTCTGCAACTATAGTCATGGTGCCGTTGTCGCTTGACTGTTGCACTTTTTTGACGTTGACAGCCACATTCTCTGGGCTTTCTCTGCTCACTTTTGTGAGGAAAGCCAACTCCTCCTTCAGCGGACCTGACACTGAGCTTTGTAGCTTCTCTAGAGCCCCCTTCAGCTGCTCCTTGGGCTCCAAAGAGTCCTCTCTCAGGAACTCAAGCACCGACTCCTGCACTACAGGAGAGACACGAACCTCTTCTTCAATGATGCACTCCGGGAAGCTCTCCTTGATAAACGAGTGATCACCTGACATGAACTTGTATTCGTCACTTTCCTCTACGATCACTCCTTTCGGGAGAGGACTTTCATCTTGATAATACCGCTCATCTGACAGATCATCTACGATACCATAATGGCCGTATGAGGTGATGCCAACACCCTCCTCGGCTTCAGAGAGATTACCATCTGGGGTGGAGACAAAATACTCGTCAGGCTCTTGCTCATGGGAGAAATAGGGAGATTCACTCTCTCTAGACACCTCTTGAACTTGCACAGATCCACCCTTGTAACTATCTGTGTCTGTCATGGAGGTTTTCATGGCATCACCATCACTCCTCTGAACGTGAGTGTCATGAGGGACGTTTTCTAGCTCCTCGATTTGGAAATATGTCGTGGAGGGCTCATAGAAACTAGATCTGGACTTCTGCTCAACTTCAATCTCCTCATCACTGTAAGACTCCACCTGTTCCTGGATGATTTCTACATTGACAGACTTATTTTCCAAGTTCTCATTTGCCTGCAGGCCACTTAGCAGGTTCTTGATCATGCTTTCTGTTGCTGTGTCCTTGATATCTTCCAGTGACGCCTTCTTAACCCCTTGGTTCAGTAGTTCATCCAGTGCAGAGTCCTCAGAAACATCCAGCTCTTCCTCCACTTTGGACTCTAACACAATCCTCGTCTTCATCGTTCCATCCTCCTGCTCAGTTGTCTCCACATGATACCTTACCGGCGGATCTCCCGAGGAGCTACCCTCAGCTTCCAAACCTGCTGGTTTTATCACTTTCTCAATGATCTCCTCTACAGACACAGAGTCTAGTATCTTTTTCTCGCTTGGGCCCGTCATAGACTCTGTTTCCACTTTATCTTTGAACTTGCCTCCATAATCATAATCTTTTTCTTTTTCATCAGACACTTGCTTCTTGCTTTCTGTTTCAGTTTTCGTGCTCAAGCTCATCATTGGCGGTGACACGACTCTCACTGAACTTGTCTCAGTAGTGGTGGACTTGATGGGACTGGCTTTGTTCTCTATGCGAGAGACCTGTTTGATTTCCACAGTTTTCTCCTCTGCTGCTGTTTTCTGCGCATGTGGTTTCATTTGGTATTCACGCTGGCCTGTTTGTTTATCTTTGGCAGCGGCTGTAGCAGGGGCAGAGGCAGCAGCTCGAGCTTTGGTGAATGAGATCATGTCCCTTCTGGATGCAGGACTCTGATGCCGAGCTCTGCCTGCAACTGAAATGGGGATGACCCTGGAGGGGCTTATGGACCCAGAGGGAGGCACAGGGGATCTTCTCAGGTTTGAAGTCGGCGGCGTGTACCTGATATCCATATGTTGTCTGGTGGTTAAGGTGGAAGCTCTTGGAGTGTGGCGCTGTGCAGGCATCTTGATATCTGATGCAGAGAATTAGTTAGCATGAATACTTAGGAAGACACTTACAGGAATAGTTCAACATTTTGGGAAAAGCACTAATTTGTTTTCTTGGCAAGAGACAAAAAATCAATACCACTCTAGAAAATATAATTTGGCTGGAAGCAGTGACTTTTTCAGTCTTGTCATCAATTTGAGGTTGCCAGTAGGACTGCAGCGGAATACCAGTTTCACAGTATTTACCAGACAAGAAATACACTTGCACAAAACCTCCTGTAAAACCACAAATTGTCTTTTTTGAACACAGATAGAGAGCGGTATCAATCTTCTCATCTAACTCTGAGCAAGAAGGCAAATAAGCATACAGTTAATGTTACAGTACATTGCACTCTAGTGATCAACATGTAACAACAAATAAATCCAAATACAGTACCTATTATTCTTTCTCTCTGATGCTGAGTCCCCCTCCTATGAGCATCTTGGATATTCACTCTCTCGCCTTCCAGGAGAGCCCTGAACAAACAAAACACAGGACAAGGGTAAATAAGTTATTATAAATCACTGGTTATCCTTCTAATTCAACATAATTATTTTTTACCATATATGGAAAAAAGGTTCAAAGCAAATACCTCACAAGCCGGTGTACATCATTCAGCTCTGCCATCTCAACCCTCTCAAACTAAACGCAACAGGCTTACAAGACGGAGTGAACCCAGGACCTGGCCATATAGGGTGCTAATCATCAAAAACATAACAAGCCACTGTCATGTAATAAAGACCTTGTAATAATTAGCTCCAGTAGCTCACCGTTCCTTGGCCATGATTCAACAAACATAAAAGAGCAAACCAAAGTGCCTTAAAAAAGGAACAACCTCTCTGGAGAGTGCCTTCCGAAAGACTGACCTAAAAATAACAGTTACAATGCGGGGCTGTCCACACGTCCCTATGAATCCCAAAGTAAAAGCTGACTCGTGACACACACAAAAACACATGCCGCTGCCACGTCTGCCAGAAAACATTTTATCTATTCCAAAAATTCAAAACAAACCAGATGTACTGGCGGAGAATCAGCTTTATAGAGACACACAGGAGCAGACAGTCTTCTAAAGAAGTTCCTGGGAATTAGCTTATACCAATAAAATTTTAATATCCCTCAAAAACTTCAACAGCTGTAAAGATGCTCTGCGATATGAGGTAAGAGGTTATGATGTTAGAAACAAATCTGGATATTGTATCTTCAATCATGAAAATACAGTATGTTTCAAGAACTGCTTCATAAATAACTTTGCCTTTCAGTAAAAATAGTCTTAGTACATGACCATGTGTGATCTGGCTATGTTGGGAGCATGAAGACTAGACGTGCCTACTGTTACAGGATATGAAATGCCAGATATAATTTGTCTTGATCATAAAAACTAAAAATAAACCACAGAAGGTTTAAACAACTGTTAAAAATGCATGTGCAGTACGTGTAGTACTCTGTTTATCTAAGTGAGGCTCAGATGACTTAATGCCAAGACCAGCAGGAGGCAAGCAGCTGATTTCTTGTTAAGTAAGCTAAGAGTAACTTAAAGCAGTGGGAGTCTGGTTTGACCGGTAATCTCTTCCTCAAAGCTTGAAAACATCACTGAAGAGAGCCAACTTTCTTCTTCCACACAAAAAAAGTCCTACTATGGTATGACGGTACCTAAATCTCCAAGGTTATGCCTTATGGGGGACCAAACAGAATTGCCGAATGTATCAAAGTACGACCTTGTTGTGATAAATGTAGGAGTCGTCACAGCTGCTCGAATGATCCTCAAATTCTGGAAGAGTACATTACTTCCAGATTTTGGAAAGAATCCATGTTACAAATTGTGTCATACCAACACGTTAGCTAGGGTCAGCAATGAAGTTGAAAGCTTTAAGAGGTCATAGGCAGGCTTTTTTGTCTGTTGAACTGTAATGACGACGTGATTAGTTGTAGTTTGTTCAGATTTGACTGAATAGATAAATAAATAATTTGAATTACAAAAACATTTCTGAGTCTACTGGCTGTAGTTTTTGGATGGCTTGACATTCTCATTTTACAGCTAAACAGTGCACTGAAATGTGTTTCTGAAAACATCCTGGATGAGAAATATGCAATGCAATAACGGAATCTTGATTCGCATTTCACCAGCACTCCCTCGTTTGACCACAGTTCACGAGCAGTGATTGGCATAACTGACAGCTGTGTTAGAGACTCCTCTGCTCTGATTGGTTGTTTTTGTTCATGTGTGGTAAAGCCATTAGAGGCGCTATGAGACAATAGGGTAGGCAGAGGAGCATACATATATATATATATATTTTTTTTACAATTATCCATCTAATTTAGTGCTGTGTTAATATATAATGACAGTTTCACCATGTATAACAAGTTGTTGTTTTTTTTGTTTTATTTTTTTCTATAAAAGTTACCTACTACAGCTTTAAATCACTGTGACAAAAAGTGTTGAAAAGTTTTTTCCTGGCACCAAACTCTGCTCGGTAACACACAGTAACTCTACACTGTTTTTTTCCACTGAAGACATTTTGACAAGTCACAGTAAGAAAAGCACAGGTGCAAATAATAAAATGAAAAAGGAGCTGAAAACCATGTAGCTGCTTCAGTTTCACGATCCTGTTGCACTGTCATGCCTCACTGGGACACTTGAATGTAGCAACCATCATCAATGTGATTAGTAAACACCTGTGCTTTTCCTACTATGAGAAAAAAATTTGTTGCGCTAAGACAAAAGAAATAAGCTCATCACCTGTAGGCAGCCACCTCCATGCCCAGATCCATCTTCACCTGGAGAAGGTGCTGATGCTCTCGCATCTTTTCTGCAATAGCGTCAGCCATCACATTCCTCTCTTGTTCCAGCTGCTCAATAATCATCTAGAGGAGGAAAAAAAAGTTTTCACATTCACCATAGTGTTACATTACAAGTCTGTGGTCTGTCCATTGGGTATTATAATTTTTTATGTCCCTGCAATTTAACTGAAAATATAATAATTCTGCTCACTTGTTAACCATTACCCACCAGTGTGTGACCACATTTTATTTTACTTCACCACAGGGGCATAGTGGACGCGGGGTACGTGGGGTACATGTCCCCCGCAGCTAATGTATCTGTCCCCTATGTCCCCCGCAGTTTTCCATACTGTAAATTGAGTCTGACAGCTGTTCACTTTATTTTAACAAGTCAGAGCTTGTTCTTCCAAGTGGTCCTGGATGCACCATGACTGGGTGGGCAAGGTGCGCACTTGCTGCTTCTTTTGTCATCACAGCAGAGAGGCATGCTCCCTCTGTTGCCCCTCTAAGTGCCAAGCGGGGAAGATGTACTGTATGTTTGAACAAAAATGTACATCAAACAAGCCAGCAAGCGGCAGGAAAGCCTGCACTCCTTCTTTATATCAAACCATGCAAGTTGAGTGACGCGTTTTTTGATAGCAGTTGGCTGACATTAAAAGATGACCTGTTTTTCTGGTCATCAGGTGTTTTTGGTTATTTGGTTTCATTCCTTAGCCGCTGTGGAGAGGCGCAACTGAATGGGCGAGGATACTTCGATAAATCATTCAAAAAAATCGCCTTGCTCCAGAACAATTCGTCCCCCTCACTTCTGAAATAATGGCTGCTGCAGCCTTCGGTGATGTTGACTTTGGAAATCTGTGTTTCTGCTGTCAAGACTCCACCCCTTATTGTATTGAGCTCTAATGCAGAAAGATGGCAAACTCGCTTCTTGTCCAAATCAAGTGTTATCTCACTTGTGCAAAAAAAGTCATATCGGGATTATTTTGACAGGTATGGGGTATGAGTTGCAATTCTATAGGGAAATGTAATTTTTGCATTTAATTTTCACTGAAAAAGATATAAAAATCATGACTATGTGATTTTTTTTGCTGGGATCTGTGCCAAACAAGGATATTTCCTTAAGTCTGGAAAATAAATTGTAGGCCAGGACATCTCTGTAGCATCACAGTGCTTCAATTATAATGGAATATTGTGGCTAATTTTACCTGTACCACAAAAATTACATCTCCTGCGATGTGAAAATCGCCATATTATGATTTTAATAATACCTCAGTTAATTGTGCATCTCTGATCCCACAGACTGCACTGATCATATGGACCACTTGATCAGGTGACTGCATGAGCCAATAATATTTGACATCCTCCAACACAGTGGTTCCCAACTGGTCCAGCCACAGGGTCCAGATTTCTCCTTAGTCATTAGTTCAAGGTCCGTGCAGTTTAATATATTTAGAGTCATACTTGCATTTGGCCATGTTGTCGAGCTAGTTTGCTGTCTCTGTCAAGTAGCTGTCCATTAGTCACTCACTCTACAGCAAGAAATGCCACTTTAAAATAAAAGCTTTGTGCTGCAAATTCACTGTACTTCAAAATAAAGTGTGTCTTTTCCAAACTTGACACGTTTCCAAGTCACTTGTGGTCCATTCAGAATGGACCCGTGACCCATTTTTGGACTGCGACCCACCAGTTGGGAACCACTGCTTTAACAGAAGTCACGCTCAAATCATAATTTAAACACATGGGTTTACTGTAACTGTGAGAAATGTGTTTATGTTCCAACATTGAAGACATCCGTACAGCCAGTGTATACCCAGTGTAGTCATTTGTAATTGACTGACCTGCTTAGGACTCCATCTTTAGGAGGTTAATAAGGATTTGTCGGTCTGACAGCTAATTGGTTTAAGTGGCTGGTGTAATCTAGCAGCTATCAAGCACTGGGAAGGCAGAATACTCGAGCTATTCAATCCTTTTACACTGAGGTCAAATGTTGCACGCAAGATCCCGTGCTTTAACAGTGAAGGGAACACACACTTGTCAGGCTCCACTTAATGGTCATGTTATCATGTGGGGAGAGTTGCATTAATGTCAGAGCCAGTCTACTGCATGTGTGTGCTTTTAGGACAGGGTGGAGCCAGAATCATCATTGCTATGATGGTTAGAGATTGCAGCCTAGATTTTGATGATATAAAAAATATGTATTAGAAGCAGTTTGATCATGTGTAGCAGCCTCTGACAGCTGCAGCTGCATCAGTGCCTTTAAGGACAGTGGGTGTGGCAGGGACAAGAGGGAGCAGCCTCCCCCTCTCGTGTGGCTCGGTGTGATGAAGGAGCGATTATTCTGTGTTTATTTATTGATTCTGTGTGATTATTCTGTTTATTTTGGAGATTACATCATTATTGCAGTAAGAATTTGTAGGAATAAATAATGCATGATTTCATTTTACTTTCTCTGGCATATAAATCTAGGCTGTCCTACTCTTGGACTTTTGCTCACCTGATATTCACTGAAGTCCACCCGGAATTTCTCCTGCATGCGCATCAGTTCCTCTTCAAGATGGAACTGAATCTGACCTTGTTTTTCCGCCTCTGTGCGTAATCTGTCCAACTCCGAGGCATACATCATCTTCTCCCTCTGCAGATCACCCAGCCTCGCCTGGTCCGCTTTAATCGACAGCTCCATCTCCTCCACCTTCACTTGGTACATTTCAAATGTCTCAATCCATCCCTCGGACAGACCCCGGGCGTACTCTTGCACCTCTTCCATAGTGGCCACTGGAGGCCCGTGATAAGTTTGCGTAATGATGGGCACCACCCGGGACTCCACCTGACGCAGGAGATGGTCCTTTTCTTGCATGTGCGCATCGACCATACATTTATATTCGTTCTCCAGCTGGAATAAACGCTGCTGGAGTTCATCGTTGGTCTTGTGAGCGTGGTGGAGCTCCTTTTCGTAGCCTTTCAGCTCGCCACTGATGTCCCTGCACACCTCGGTCTGCTCGCTGCACATAGACTGGACCATCTGCAACTCCCGCCATAGCTTCTCCCTCTCCATCTCAGCCTGGGACTTTTCAAACGACAGCTGCCCCACCATTCTCCTCAGCTCCCGCATCTCACCCAGATACTTGGGCTCCCAGTCCACCCTCTTCGTCTGTCTGAGTTTGTTGATTTGAGAGATGAGATGCGCATTTTCCTGCTCCAGCTGCTTCGTCCTGGAAAGATACTGGGCAAGTCTGCTGTTGAGTTCCTGCAGCTGCTGCTTCTCGCTGTCAAAAGTTCTCTTGAAAGGCAACATCGTGGCATCTGATTAGAAAAAGTGAGTTTTAGAGAAAAACTTCAGGAGACAGGTTGTCCCATTGTCATTTGCGTGCGCGTCTGTGGACACGACTGTGATGTAATTTGCGATCAGTACCCTTTGACAAGTGCAGGAGGAGGAGGAGGAGGAAGAAGAGGAGGGCGGGTCCTGCCTCAGGATCGCCCCGAGCGCGTCCGCGTCCCTGGCAGATGTGATGCTGCGTTTTTGTGCTGTCTGAAATATAATACATCTCACTTCAATGTGATAACCAAGGATGTGGCGAAACATAACATAAAAAACATAAAATAAAATAAAAACTTAAAATAAAATAAACTAAGTAACATAAAATAAAATAGAATAAAAAAACATAAAATAAAATAAATAACATAAAATAAAATAAATAATACAATAAAATACAATAACACAACATAACATAAAAAATAAAAACATTACATCACAAAACATAATAACATAAAATAAAATAACATACATAGCATAACATAATAACATAACATAAGATAAAATAATGACAAAATGAAATAAAAAGCGAGATACTGAAAATGTGTCATGAAGTAAAATGAAATCAAAAGATGAAGACAAAACTAAGTGTGTAATTAAGTAAACAACTGAAATGAAAACAATGGGTCAAATGAGTATATTTTATAGTTGCTATGTTGTTCACTGAAATGTCATATAAATATAATTTAATTGTTTAAAAATAAAGTAAATCGAAAGGTCAGTTTAGTCTTATTATCAGGCTGATAAATTAACTGACTTCTTTTAAATTAAAAGTCTTACCGGAGGCACCTGAATGCATCACTTCCACAATGCTTTTAATCCTCTATCTGCCGGGGAACAGCTCCGCCAAGCGGACAAACTGTGAACTGCGGCCGCTAAAATAAACCCTGATGTTTTTCAGTGGTCTGTACCCATAGTCCGGTACTGACTGCGTTATGAGTGGATCCGACATCGTGGTGGTCACAGGTAAAGTAGTTTTTATTCCTGACAATAGGCTACACGAGCTCTTCAAACCGGCGCACACGTTGATTTTTAATCCTGTCTGTCAGGTTTTGGACCTTTTCGACAGTTCCTGGTGAACCCCAGCTGGACAGCAGCCCAGGTAATGTATTGGGAATGATAATTAAAATCAATGTAATGCCCATCGCGAGACACAAAGACTTAGATATGTCTAATATTTCTTTATTTCAGGGCTTGAAGTTGGTCGGATTGGGAGAAGGGACTGATGTTTACATCAAGAAGGTGCCAGTGAGTTATGTGAAGACCCAGCAAATCATTGCTGAGATTTGGCAAACTCTTCACCCAAAGGTAAAGATTTGTTGTTAAAGTCAAGACCAGGGCCAGAACCAGTGGTACAGGAAGTCCATCTCACTTAGGAATTTTAATAATGATAATAGTAATAAACTTTATTTATATAGCACCTTTCATACAAGAAATGCAGCACAGTGCTTTACAAAAAGGGCAATATAAGCATAGTGTGCTTCACATGAAAATGGACATAATGAACATAAATCAGAACTAATTCATAAAATCACAGAGCTGTAAAACTATAAATCTTGAAATTAAGTAAGATTTTAAAAGAGATGCAGCAGCGTGAGGCGTAAAAAGAAAGAGTCAGACCTGTCATGAAAATCAGAGTTAGTTAAAGGCTAAATTGAACAGATACGTTTTTAGCTTTCTTTCTTTCTTTTTTTTTTAACTATTTAGACCAGATACCAAAAGTGTCAAACTATTACTGATTTGGATTTAAAAATAAAATTAAACTTTTTGTTTCCTTTTTTTTTTTTTAAATAACTAATTAAATAATTATTTTGTGTCATTGTTCAATTATATTTTATTTTATTTCCCTCTATTTATATATATATTTATATCCCTTTATTTTCCCTATATGTTAACCTACAATGAGTCTGTCTAATATATAACTTATCAAAAAACATTTAAAACCACTTGAAATTAATTTAAACAATCATGAAATCCAAACCTTTTTTTGTAGAGTGCAAACAGTTGCTAAAATCCCCCAGTTTCCCAGAACAACTTCAGAGGGCATGACCTCAGTTTTCTGAATAGTAGCTACAGCCCTGGTGGAGATATTTAGCATAATTACACCATGATTACATTAATAATAGGTGAACATCTCACTTTATCCTCCTTGTTTGTGTGCCCCAGTTTGCTGTACATCTGGGCGTAGCCAGAGGTTCTAGTGTCATCATTCTGGAGCAAACAGGAAAGAACAGCGGCTACAGAGACAAAGACGTGTGCGGCTTCTGCCCTGAGAGTCACTGCTGTGTGGAGGGAGGACCAGACAAACTGGACTCGGTCGTTAATATGAGGGCTGTCGCCAAAGAGCTCCAACAAGCAGGGGCGGATGTTGTTTATTCAAGAGATGCTGGCAGGTAGGCGCCTGCTCCTGCACTGTGATGATGGGCACACAACAATATGAGATAACGCTGTCTGTGCTTCTTTCAGGTACCTGTGTGACTTTGCATATTACTGCTCACTGTATTACGGTCAGAGGAGAGCGGCATTTATCCATGTGCCCTCATCTGGCAGCCTGACCTCAGGTGACAGACTGGTACCACTGCTGCAGAGCCTCATTCTCGCCATGCTGGACCAGCTGGAGGACTCTTCAGAAACCACGTGATGAGAACATGAGCGAGGTAGATCTTCTAATAAAGACATTTCACACATCAAAGTGGCCTCAGAGAGATTTGAATAGAACAGTCATATTTCTCATTCATTTATTTATTCAAAATTTCAGAAAAAAAAAGAAAATACAAGAAATTCTCAGATACACATTTGGAGATGGCATGTCAAAAAATACACCATCTCAGCTATAGGTGTGAAAAAACGTTTGAGGCCTCAGATACAGAGCTTGAAAAAAGACAGAGTCTAGTGAAGGTTTTTTTTTTTTTGATTATTTCTTTTCCCCAATCAGGTAATGAACACAGAGATCTTGTGAAAGTCATTGCAATAAAATCATAGCAGTAGACCAAGGCCCCCTCAGAAGGTATAGGAATGCAAATCATAACAACAGAGGCATGATAATGATAAACCTCAAACTTATTATTGCAGTTTGAATGCACTGACGCATCCTCCATAAACCTGAGGTTTGCATGAAGAACATTCAGAAGAATGAAAGTGATAAAAGATGAATGTTTTTGTCTTTTCAGTTCGTTAATGTATATTTGAAATCTGGTAATGCAAAAAAAAGCAACTAGTGTGAAGCTGTAAACTTAGGCCTATCATCTTTTTTCTAATCATGTTTACCTCTTCACTGTGACTACCCGTAATCTACGCAACATCCCTGTCCTATACATGTCCACGTGTGTATTTAAATGCTGCAGTTATGACAGGTTTGTGATCTAATGGTAACTATGAATTCAACAGTAATTCACCTCACGACAGCTCAATGTAACGTCTACTCCCGGAACTGAAGAGTTTGCATTTAATCCTTACATGCATCCAAAACAGGAAAAAAAAAGCACAGATATGTTAAGTAACTACACAAGCTGTTTGCTTGTCAGTGGTGATTTCTGTACCGACGTGATATTCAGCAGCAGTCAACCAAAAAAACTGTTCACTCTGTCATTCTCTTATATTCTCCTAAATCATGCACAGATAAAATGCTTAAGAGGAAATTGAGCACCCAGGTTTCACATTAGAAGTTACCCAGTGGCCTAGTCGTAATTTCTTTTTATTGCTTTTGGGTTTTAATTTCAACATGAGTTTTCTAATCGTTTCCAGCCCAGATGCCCTTGCACCGAGACAGCGCTCTCCAAAGTAGCCGCTTTGAGTTGAGGTTTGTTAGGAGAAGTTTTGAGATGTAAAAGCTCCTTTTTTTGCCACCTTCGTGCTCAACATTTTCGATGACAGTATAAGATCCACTGAGGTGACGGTTTGAACCAGCAGCATTAGTGTAAGTAGCAGTACAAAGAGGCCAAAAAAAAAGGCGTGTTGAGTTTACTTCCAAGAGATCAAAAAGCCTTAAAAAAATGGCAGAGATAAGCCATTACTAGAGCTGGAACGTGATGGCATTCAGCAGGTAGACTTAGGACAGGGGGAGTGATGGCGTTCACGTAAACACAAAGTTACGGGGGTGACAAAAAAAAGAAGACGGAATCTAATCCAACATTGATAGATGACTGAAACTGTCCAGAAACATGTAGGTGGAGTTGCTGCTATCTCGACAAAGGTTTTGTGTTACATTCACAGCACTGATCCATACATAGAACTGAATGTATATTTTGAGCGTGAATGACATCTGGATGTCTCGTTTGTGCCGTAACCGTGCAACGTTACAGGCTGCAGGTGACCAACGAATACATTTTTTTGTTCTTGGAGGTTGATAAAACATTTTTCCCTTTTTAAATATTCCCCATCATAACTGTTTGGACTCATATAAAAATGCATTTTAGATGAGAAAATTAAGGTTTCTGTCTTTTGAGGATTTGAGGTTGTGACAATATGTTGGGAGTCAGTGGAGATGGGATATCTGGTGCTGATGTTGCGCCCCACACTCTTGCCTTTATCATTCAGTCAAATTAAGCGTAATTATGTAATATTATCTCACATAAACACCCAAAATTTTATATTTATTCTGCAGGAAACTTAACCATACTGCACTTAAGTTCTCTCATGTTGTATTCTTGGAGGTGTAAACTTACTGGTGGGCTGATTACATCACAGATATTCCATCTCCCGTCCTAGTCCGCTTTGTGAGGTTTATCTAGATCCCTGTGGGTTTTATCCAGATGATGAGGTTTCTATACAAACTGATGAGAAAGAGTGAGATGTACTTGTTTTCCATACGCATACATATATTTAAAAAGAGTGAGGTAGATATATACTTGAAGGAAAAAAAAATAAAACCTTTTAAGTCCCCCAGTCATGACACCAAAGAAAATACATACAAAAAAAATCCAACTTTATACTGAATCATGGGGCATTTATACAGTGATTTAAACTGATATCACAAAAGGAAAATAAAAAAATAAATAAATAACACTCCTACAGAAAAAAAAAACTTCAAAGAGAGAGGGGAGAGAAAAAAATCACCAGGCAACATTTTCCAAAAAAAGATGAGGAGAAATCCTTCAAAAATCACTATTCAGCCTCCATTTTAAGACCTTTTGTTTGTTTTCCATTCATGACATTGAAATGTGTTCCCTTCCCTGGACTTTAACCCATCCTTTATTTGGTTTTCAGAAGCAGTGATTATGAAGACAAACAATAAGACCTGTTCTCACTTTGGAGACGTAACGTTAGCAGAAGTGGCATTATATTGCGCTTGAGTGTTATAATAACATTTAAAAAAATAAAAGGAAGGAGAAATAAAATCTGATTTTGAATGCTTGAGAGATGGTTGGCGTAATTAAGGCAAACAATACAACCCAATTAGCCCTATTGATCCGAGAAGAGGCAAGAAATGGATGGGTTAAAATACCAGATCTGGTGTAAAGTAAATATCTCGTACGCTTACTTCAAAAGGAGGCACCGGGGGAGGAAACAGATACAGTATGTTGTAGAGGTCAGTGAGGGGCCAGTGGGGAGGAGAGAGGGCACTACTGGACTCAAAACATGATGGTAAGGGGTGAGGAGGAGGAGGAGGATGAGGAGGAGGAAATGGGGAGGTACAAGCTGAGACAAGTAGAGGACGATCATGAGAATGTGTGGAGAAAGCAAAGCCTTTACTTTGACCTGAGATTGAGTCGCACCTAGGGGGCAATGCTAGGCGCAGTGCTAGACAACAAGTACAAAAAGGGTGCAGAAAGTACACACTCACACATCGAGCTAAGGTGTCCATTCCAAATAATAATAATAATAATAATAATAATAATAATAATAATATAGACATCCACAAAACAAATACAGGAGGAAAGATTTCATAAAAATAAAAGGCAATGAACGAAATATAGTGTTACAGGAAACCTTTTGGGGTAACAGAAGAAAATGCTTTTATATCTAAATCATCTTATTTTTTAGTTTTTTTTGTTTTTTAAACAGAGTTTGAAGATATAAGAAATGGACTGTAGTGGAGACCATAAAATACCAAACCTGAAGGATTTCTTGTGTGTGTATATATGTATATATACACATTATATATATATATATATATATATATATGTACACACATCCAAAAGAGAAAAAGAATAAAATAGCAGCTTTGTTCTGTACAGACATAGAGGCAAACATTTTGAACCGTAAAAAGGTTTTTAAAAAAGTGACAAAACCAATGATGTGTATAAAAACGATCCTGCAGTCTAAAATACAACTGTAAGACCTTTATATGTGTTTGAAATGTAGAGAAACTAATGACTATTCTAAAAGAGACCTGCTGTGATTTAAAAGTCGTCTCTAGGCTACTAAAATCCGATCCAACGCCTTCTCGTTTTTCTGTCTCAGGTCTTCGACTCTGTCTGTCTGTTGTGGTGTATTTGGTGCCATTGAATTTGAACAGCAGTATCACAGAGAACGACGTTCACCTCCCGCATGAAATGTACACTTTAAAAACAAAGTCAGATAAAGGTTCAAATGAATGAACGTGGAGGCAGAGTCGTATCCCTTGATTGTGACGTTCAGTGACTTGCAGTGTGAGACTTGATGATGCTTTGTTAGGATTTTGTTTTAATAAAACGAGGACAGACTGAGGCTGTGATTCAGAGTTGGCTGACTCAAGTTGTGTGTGTGCTTCCACTGGATGTTCAAGTGATGAAGAGGAGGGTTTCTGTTCATCTGTTTAGGTGCAACAGAATGTTTTGTAAAGCCGATCACCAGAAACAGCAAGCAGCCATTTCAAATGTAGTTACATGAAAATATAGGGCTGCAACGAATTATTATTTTCATCATCAATTAATCTGCCAATTGTTTTTGAAAACCCAAACTTGTCTAGATGACAAAAAAACAGCAAGTCCCACCGAATAAGGAGCTGGAGAGCCAATTACATTTGGGCATTTTTGTTTAAATAAACTGAATTAAATTGATAATAAAATCATAAAATTTATAAAATTGGTTGCAAATTTTACATCCATTGACTAATTATTTTAACTTAAAGGTTCAGTGTGTAGGATTTAGGGGCATCTATTGGTAGAAATGGTATTTAACTTTCATAATTATTATTTCATTACTTTATAATCACCTGAAAATAAGAAATGTGTTTGCGTTTCATTAGAATGAGACGTTAATATCTGCTAGATGCCACTAAATTCTACACACTGGACCTTTATTAAAATATACTGACATTTCAAAGTTCGGATTAAATTATCATGTTAAGATGAATTCTTACTAGGGGTGGGGGAAAAAACGATACGATATAGTATTGCGATATTTTTTGGCAATATTGTATCGTCACACAGTCCCAAATGTGTTTTTCTAAATTATATAAATCATTAATATGACAAATACAAATTGAACTTAAGTTAGCCTACTAGAATAATATAATCAATTGCTTTTTCAGTCCACTAGATACATTTTGCTGCAAAAAAAAATGAGATGAACAGACTGAAAATTTTATCTTATTAGATAAAACAGATGTTTCCCTTTGGGGACATAATTACAGTTGAATAAAGGTTATAAATCGCAGTATATCGCAATATATTTTAATCACAATATTCAATATATTGCAACATATTTAAAATTGCAATAATATTGTATCGTGATAATATCCTATCGTGGATCTACTGGTGATTCCCACCCCTAGTTTTTACTGATACTGTGTCAGTTGATGTGAGGAAAATGTACCTTTAAACTGGATTAAGAGGCCTATACTTCAAATCTTGAATGAAACATTGCTGCTTTTCTGCCGGCCTCTCTATATGCAAATCATTTAATAGAAATTTTGTGGTGCATTTCTCTAAGTATCACAAGGCCTGCTAGATTTATTCCACCCACAATGCAGACGCTGCACATTATCATAAAACTTTGACTGCAGGTGTGAATGTGGCCTCTCTCAACAGTACACTGTATCCTGTTCTGTGATAACCCCCCTCCACACACACACATACACACACAGCTGCTCCACGAGCAGTTAGTACTAAAGATAAGCATGAAGTCTGAGTGCTACCAAACAATTTTGGTGTTATTTCCCAGACAGACTTATCTGAACTCTGAATCACAGCCTTAAACAAGAAGGGAGACCTGTATGAAACTGAAGAAAAAGCTTGATTTGGCAATAGTTTGGCAGATACACAATAGGCCCTCCTCTTCCATTTTGACCCGCTCCTGACGGGGATCATAGAAATATCAACAGTAAAATGAAACACTGATCTTAGTCCAGACTTTCTCATAGAGGCATCCTCACGTGACATGAGCCCGTCTGCTCATGCAAACAAAGTCATTTTGATGGAAAGTCATTTAGAAATGGAGCTATACCATATTATAGAGAGAATCCCGTGTTTTGTATAAATACACACTCAGATATCCACAACATCCCCTCTGAAATCATCAGGAAAAAAAGTGCTCTTCTGTTGGATTTGCTGGCAGATATGCTAAAAAAAAGATTTTCTTTAGTTCATGTCTAAATCTGTAAGTCAGGATACATGCCTTTAGTGTTTTCCTTCTCAAAGGACTTATGTAACAACGACTGAAATCCTGGCGGCACAGGAAGGAGTTCCCCAGTGTCGAGTCTGAGCCACCAAACTCCAAATGCTTTAGCAGGTTTCTGTACTGTTTCTCAGTTTTTACAGTTTGTGTTTGACCTTAAAGGAGTGGAGAGACCATCTACTGGCACACAGTAGAAGAAAATAATTTCTTACCTCATCCATCCCTCCTTAAGAGATGGAGGAGAGGTTTGTGTTACCCTGTGTAAGAGGAGGAGAAGGGGCTGGTCTGATATCAGCAGGCCGACGACTGGGGCAGTGGTAACGCCCGTTCGTTCTTTCTGCCCCCGTTCATGTGTGCATAGGGTTGCATCTCATCAAAGTTGGGCCGCAGTACCACCACGGGCCCGTTGGCCGAAACATGTCCTGAGTGCTTGTCCAAGGCTTGGCCTGGAGACGCCAACGCTGAGGCAACCGGGCCCGGGGAGGAGGGAGACACAGGTCCCAGTAATGGAGTACTTGGGCCTTGCATGGGGGATAACTGCTGGGTAGAAGGAGGCGGCGTGCCTCCTGTGCACCCCGACGAGGGGGCGGCGGCAGCAGAGGGCTGCCTGGTGGATGCAGGGTCCAGTGGAATGTTCTCCATGTTTTCTACCTCCATGTCCAGCTCCTCGGTGTCCGGCGGCTTGTTCTCCTCGCTGTAGAAGAAGCTCATTTCCCTGAAGGGAGGATCTAGTTCATCTTTGATGCTGCTGATGATCTCCAGGAAGGACGGACGCATCTTGGGGTTATACTGCCAGCACATCCTCATCAGCTCGAATCTGCAAGTGATGTAGAAAGGATAAAAAGGGTTGGTAATGGACAGTAGATTCTTGGCGTTGTTTTATAATTAAAAGCATAGATTCAATTTGTTTTTTCAGATGATCTTTTTGGAGTTTGCATGTTCTCCCTGTGTCAGCTTGGGTTTTCTCCAGGTACTCCGGCTTCCTCCCACAGTCCAAAGACATGCAGGGTTAGGGTTAGCCCTTTGGAACCTGGAGCAACATCACTTTTCTTACGCTGCATTCAGACCCCTTTTTCAAGTATTTAAACCTTTGAATCATGAGCTAATTAGTGCGATTTCAAAAATTATTTTTAAAAAAGGGAAAAAAAAAGAAACAAGCTGTATTTATAACTATTATTATTATTACATTTTAAAATTATGTTACGGAATTATTATAATTTTAAGCACTATTTCCAGGGAATTCCATCTTTGTTTGTTTTTAACTTTCTTCTTCTTCTTTTCAAAACTAATTTTCTTGTTTTAAAATTCATGGTAATTTTGCGGGGTCATTTCCTCTTTCATTGCTCATTGGCTTCTTCCCATGTTTTTAATAGAAATCAAGCCAATTTGCTCAGGTTGCAAAGAGTTAACTGGTGATATATGACTTCAAGTTGACCGTAGGTGTGAATGTGAGTGTGAATGGTTGTCAGTCTCTATGTGTCAACCCTGTGATAGTCTGGTGACCTGTCCAGGGTGTACCCTGCCTCTTGCCCAATGTCAGCTGGGATAGGCTCCAGCTCCCCCGCGACCCTTAAGAGGATAAGCAGTTATGGAAAATGAATAAACTTTTTCATAACAAAATGAGAACTGTGGATTTTATCCCCCGTCCAAGAGCATAATTGTGCCACTTCACAGCCAGTAGGACAGGAGGAATGATTGCAGCAGCCAACATCTCTTTCAGTGTACATGTAGGGATGTGAATATTGTCTTAATACAGACTTGGAAGAAATGTGAACCTATCCTTTCAGGACTTCTGAGTGGGGAGACTTCATGTTTCTCACCAGCAGGTGGCAGAAGACACTGAAGTTAAAGCCAATTTCCATTCTCTCTGGCAGTGTAACTCAGTTCACTGTATAGAGCTTGAAAAACAAACCCTTATGTAGACGGTACATTAATATAGTACTGTACTGTGCTGCTACTCACCACTTACTACAGTGAATATCCGATAGAACAGATGCTTTGATTACTTTTAGATTGTGTACAGAATAAAACAGACACAAATTACAATAACAAGTGTAAGTTTCTGTGTTCACATTTTGTTTAATATTAGTGGGTGTGAATGTAATTACTGTGTGCACCTTTAGCTTGATGGCAGCAGCTTATACACACTAAAAAAAGATGTGTGAAGTCACATATACCCATCCTCATCTCTTGGACTTTACAGATTTCATACAGGTTGTTGACAGATACTCTTGGTGAGCGTGACAGTTCAAACGAACTACTAAAAACCTGGATACGTTTTAAGGATTGCTACATCACAACAGATACAGTAAGATCAGTAATGTCGCATGTGCTCTGAAGCACAGTAAATCATATGTTATGTTACTGTGCCAGGCCAGCAGCCGAGCTTTGGGAATGTCAAAACAACATCATAAAAGGGAGAATTATTACAGTTTTGTGTGGTGCTACACCACACACCACAACTTCAATTATACACAAACAAGCTAAGAATACTCTCTAAGGCCCGCTGACATAAACACCTCAGTCATCTCTCCTCCGTTCTTGCTGTTCCCTCACTCTTGTTTTCTTTCTCTCCCTCTCTCTCCCAGAGGTCTCTTTGCCGTCTACAACAGCCTCTGCAGCTGGGTGCCAGCTCTGCTCTGCATAGAGGAATTATGGGTAGAGCTTTTCTTAAGCACGCGCCTTGCTTCATACTCTAAAGCAGCAGTCAGGGGAGGGGGGACGGCTTGGGCTTGTTTTTCAGCAGCGCAGCAAGTGTCTTAAAGTTGACGTTAAGATGTCCAAACCCAGGAAGCGAAGACCTCCCGTGGAAAGACGTGTAATGCTTGGCGCTCCGGGGTAACCTGACGGCGAAGTCCTGCCTGCTGAAAACTCTTTCCCCACCATCTGTTGCTGTGCACGGGGCTTGATGCAAATTTAGAAAACAAACAGTGCAGTAAATCATGACATGTTGTCAGCATCCTGCCAATCACAGCAAACACAGACACATGCTATTGCCATTAAGCTTAATGGACTTACATTTGACCTGTCACCAGTGACGTTATTAACACATGTACAGCTCACAGTGGTACATGAGCTGTACATGTATGTCCTATAGCTGGCATGAAAGAGCTCCTCTCGCACAGGCAACATCTATTTCACTTTTTATTTGTCTATTGCCACCAGTTTTTATATAACTTATGTTTGTTTACCTGCATTTAGTACATTCAAGTCCATTTTAACAAACTAAATGTGCTGTATACATAAAGTTTACTGACTGATCTTTAAAGGTTCAGTGTGTGGGACTTAAGGGGATATATGTCATCAGATATATCATACAATATATGTTTTTTCGTAGTGTGTAATCACCTGAAATTGATTATTGTCATGTTTTTGTTAACTCAGAATGAGCCATTTATACCTACATAGGGAGTGGGTCCTTGTCCATGGAGTCGGCCATGTTTGTACAGTAGCCCAGAATGGACAAACCAAACACTGGCTCTAGATAGGGCCCTCTGCCTTTTCACATTGACCACTGTAATTAGCAGCCCCTCTACCACAAGCCGAACAAAAGCATCAGAACAGCTGCTTTATTCAGTGTTTTTACCGGTTTAAATCTCTGCGTCTGTTTGTTTCAGACAGGAAGAGAACTCTGCAGACAATTTCCAGTTAAAACATCCTGAATGTCTGGATCTTAAGTTAGCAGAGAAAAAATTAAGCACACATTAGCAGGTGCTGGGCTAGCCTGCACCGTTTGTTTTGGAGAGGAGGAGACCTCTGCGGATAATATGGCTCCCAGTAAAAAAATCACCTCAACAATGAACACTAAAGAAATCCTAAAGGGGGATTTATACTTTTGCGGCAGACCCTACGCCGTAGCCTATGCACGTGGCCTACGCCGTTGTGAGCATTTATACTTGTATGGTGGTGTGGCTGTGTCACTCTGCAGTCACACCTCCAAAACACTAGTCGACGGCGGGGTTTCTTTGAAGTGCTGAATAGTATAATTGATTCAAAACACACATTAAACATGGCTTAATAGCAACAGTTTCAAACACATTACACAAATCAACTTCTTCATAACTAGCAGCATTCACAGACAAAGCACTTGTCTTTTCCTGGACACATTTCCCCCACAAATACAACATGCTAATGTTTTTAGCACAAGTCTATGACATTTTACATTGTATAAATTAGCCTAGTAGCTAGCGGACTTTTCCTCCACTCATATGAAGCCAGGGACAACAGCAACATTTAACAAAGGTAACATTACAAAATTCGGCTCCATTATAGCTTGCAAGGTTCACCGACAAAACAACTGCTTTATACTAAACACGTTTTCCAAACAGATGTAACATGCTAACGTTATTGGCACAAGCCCATGGCAGTTAATACTTGGCACATGGGAGAAGTTTCAGTTGGTTGCAATCTGCAATCCTCACCAATCCTACGCACTGCTCCTTTAACTTGACAGCAACCTTTGGGTGACCAAGATGGCTGCCTCAGTCCTGTGCTCTCTAATACTTGTTTTCTTTATTTGATCTGTTTAAGCTGTGTGCGTCTGTATCTGTATCGCACTGTAAATGTGTCTCCTGCACTGTCTTTAATTACAGAGAGAGCTCATGTAAACTGGAGTCAGACCCTCCCTCGTATGTGTGTCTGACTCTGTACTTTTGTGTCACATCAATAACTGCTGAGTATTACAAATATGTGGTGTGATAGTGCAAAAACAGAGTTTTCAAAATGAAATTAGGCAGCAGTCAGGTTTTTATTAAATAATCCGCACTAGTCTAGACACGGCCAAAATGTAACCAGACTAAAAAAATGGACAGAAAGAACCTTGAATCACTCAGATAAAATCAGAAACAGACACAGGCCAAGTGCAGAACAGTCTTCAGACATCTATGGTAAATGTTTAATAAACTCTAATGGGAATCTCTGGCAACAAAACTGCACACATGCAACATCCCCAGTGTGGTGAAACCTTGATGTATAATAGCACTGCTAGTGATACTGCACATTCCGCAATAAATCATGTTGTTTAATATAATCGCGGATCTGTCTGCATTTAATTTTCGCCCAACCCTGCGAGAGAGAGCGTGCGCTTTTGTCTATAGGAAACTCAAGACAGAAACATGGGAAATCCAATCAGTGACCCGCAGCTACCTGACCATGGGAACGACAGTACAAGGAGGAGACATTCAAAGCTTTCCAAATATGACTCAGCCTGCTTTCTCTTGTACCTTTCTATTCAGTCTTTGTATGGACTTCTGGCTTCACCACACTTCAGCAGTCGTCTGGAAATCTCCATTAAGTCACTACAGTAGAGGCCACCAGCAGCAAAAGGCCTGACTTCCCTGTGTGCTGCTCCCAGACCAGGAAGCTAACCCCTCACCCACCACCACTACCACCACCACCTCTGTAACACAATCCACACACTCCTGTAATCAGGACAAAACAGTCAGGCTGCCATAGAAACGAGAGGTTTGTGTCTGCACAACACACGGCCCTCTTTTTTTTTTTTTTTTTACTCTCACTCTCTTTCTAAGGTGAGGTCAGCCATGGAGAGTGGGAGGGGAGAGCGCAGAATGCCTTCTTATTGAGGTCAGAGTGGGAGAGGAGAAATGCATATATGCAGCGCCGCATGCTGACAAGCAGGCTGTGCTGTGATTTCTCTTCTCTTACAGCCAGGGTGATTCATTAATGAATTATAAATGAATTAATGAATGCTTGCTCTCCCACTCCCTTCGCTGATGGACAGACACCGTCTCCCCGCTCATGCCCGTTCTCGGCGGCAGGAATGAGGGGCATCTTTCACACACGCGTCGTGGCATCCCTTCTATGGGCCGAGGCTGACGGGTGAGGAGGCTTCTTGCTGCCAGCTGACCACCAGGGCCATGTCGTCAGCGGGCCACATTTAACCTGTGACGTTAATGTCAAGCCTCATCTTGGCTCTACCTAAGCGTACACACCACATGATATCCTACACACTTTGAACCACAACTTAAAATAGACGTTGGGCAAAATATTAATGGGACAGAAGGCTGAGCGAGGCAGCAGTAGGCAGTAGAGGACAAAAAAACAATGCATCCTTTAAGGGTGCTGTAACATTAACCTGAAAGATTTAAGGTGTATGATATTACGCGATTATTAATGACAGGTACAAGGAGACTTACAGCATGTCGGGGCAGTTGTCAGGTTTGTCCAAGAGTCCTCCTTCCATGACGAAGCGCAGCACTTGTTCATTGGACATGCCCTGGTAAGGCTGTTCTGCTAAGGTGGCGATCTCCCATAGCACGACACCAAATGACCTGTGTAAGATATGAGACAATAATTTTTAAAAAAGACATACATTGATGCTTCTTATCTGATGCTAATTCAGTGCTGCTTACATTGAGTGCAACAGCAGAAAAGGTTTAAGGCTGATGTAGCAATGACCGCCAAGGACAACAGTTTTATTGCTTCTAGATAGATCGTACATTTCAAGGTCCAAATGTGACAAAAGAAAGTCTTACTAAGCAATACGAGGGATAAAAAAACACACTATACTCACTTAAAGGAAGTTTTGGTCCTCAGACTTTCAGCAAGTAATTAATTCATTTATTAAATTGTACCTGGTGAAGGTCCAACAACCAAAACATTATCAATTAAGGGAGTACAAATGGTAACTTTCCCTCCAAATACAAAGCCTGTACAGTACACCTTCCATTAGCCGTAACCATCTTTCAAAGCATACTTTAAAAATATGTTTTTCCTGGCTTTCAGGCAGCCGGTGGTTTCCTTTTGCTTCACTAACACTCAGCCTACATGCTTGAGTCAAGTAATCCACAACAGTGAATATAATGGCTACTTTTAATATTGTAAATTTTATATTATAGTTGTTGTATTCAACTTTAAGTAAAGACTTTGTAAGAATTTGTAGTCTATGCGTGAGTTGTGTTTAATTAGCTAATAAAAAGTAAAACAAAAAAACTAGAAAAATATATTTGCTGGAGCAAGCCAAAAAAAAAAAAGCACTGGTATGAACCTTTAAAGCTGCACTAATTAATTTTTTTTTTGTCACATTTCTTCGAATGACTGTGTACTGCTAATACTGAAGCTTGTAGAGATGAACCCACAGAGAATTACCCGACTGCAGCTCCCCAGAGTTCTCAGCTTTTCAAGGTGATATTACATCAGTGTTGCATTTACAGCATGCTCCACCACCTCGACAGTGGCCAAAAAAAAAAAAAAAACAGCTTTAAAATGCTTTTTATGTAAATAAGAATAAGGATAATAATAACTTTATATAGCACCTTCAAAAGCAGATTTTACAAAGTGCTTTGACAAAATTATGGTCAATAGGTTAAGTTGAAGTTAAAACAAGAAGGCAAAAAATGCAAGATGCAAAATATCCATATACATAAATACAAATGAAAAGAATAAAAGCAATAAAAAGATAATAAAAAGAAATAAAAAGACAACATCACACAAATGATGGCAAAAGCAGCATCCTCTTTACATGTAAACCTCGACTTTGGAGCAGCCAAAAGGGCCCCACCCGAAGATCTGAGGGTGTGAACTGGCTCATATGGGGTAAACATTTCTGCTATGCAGCTTGGGGCCAGACCCAGACGAGCTATAAAAGTGAAATCTTAAAATCAATTCTAAAATTAACAGAGTGCCGATGAAGAGAGGCTAGGATTGAGGTGATGTAATGTTGTCAGTTAAAACCAGTAAGAGGCCTTGCTGCTATTTTGAACTAGCTGGAGGTGAGAGAGTGATTCTAAACTTGGGTTAGATTTAAATTAATTATTAAAACAGAAGTGTTACGCACAGCTAGTTGTGGATTTCTGCCCCTAAGTGGCTAAAAAGCAGCTTAAAATACTGCAACTTTAGATGCCTACATTATCTTGAGCACAAGTACCCTATTAACTAAACTTTAATGGTCAGAGAAAGAGTAACCTGACCACATTTACTGAGCACAGGATGTTGGAGAATGCAGCTTCTCCTTATGTTATCCACATCATGTTAAACCTAAAACCTGGCAGCCTGAGTAGAGTAATGTAAGCCGTGTATCAGCGTACCAGTCAGTCAATCACAATGATGTCATTACTGCAGGAACCAGCCTGAGTATAAAGTATTTACAGTACGGTTAACGTCACCTCCGTTTAACCTCAAGCTACCTCACACTGAAATTACTATGAAACTATTCATGGAGAAAATTCTTAACTCGACTTACAAAAACCACAATATTTGTTCACTCTTGCTCGCCATAATTTCACAACTGGCACGAGTTCAGAGAGTACATTCAACAGTCCTTTAAACAGTCTTATTACAACACTGCACATAAGTGGCTGAAACTGTTTTGTGCTGACAGACAAAGCCACACTCAGACAGCTTTTCCCGATCAACAAAATAAAAGTCACCTACTCGCGGATTCCTAAGAAGCCCATAATGGGTTCGTCTTACGCTAAACTTCATCTGTGCAACATCAAAGAGGAAGATATAGAACACAAATGTGGAGGTGGGTTTGCGCTGGCACTGCAACCTCTCATTTAAGAACATCTGGAGCAGTTTAAGCCCACTCTGAGGGACTGACCCGTGGGACATTTTGAGTTGGGAAACAAAAACTTGCGACTGAGCTAGTACACACTTGTGTTTCTCTACGACGACGTCGCTACAGATAGAAAAATGTGGCAGAAGTGTAAACTGAGATTTCACTGCAAGCTGGCATAAAAAAGGTGTCAGTAAAAAAAAAAAAAAAAGATTTATCTTGTTCTACGCTCCTCTGTCAGGGAGAGAGGAATTTCCAGAGAGCCAGCTGGAAACCAAAAGATTGCGATGGTTTTGGAAGTACTAGCTGTCATAGTATGCACAGAGGGGAGAGAGGACAGGAAATGCATGTTCAAACTGTTAAAAGTGAACTGTTAAAAGTAAGGAATGTTAAGAATACGGGCCCGTGAATTGAAATACTATATGTTTTTATAGCTTCAACTCCACAGCATGAAATATTTTAGCGTATCCACACACACAAATATGTAGACATTTCTGGAATACTTTGTGAGCCCCTTGGATTTGGGCAGGTTTATACATGAATAATGCAGGCTTGCGAGTGTGTTCTCATACCAGACATCTGACATTGTAGTGAACACGCCATCTTTCAGCGACTCTGGAGACATCCAGCGGACAGGCAGCAGGCCCTTCCCTCCTTTTCTGTAGTAATCCGTCTCATAAATATCTCTGGTCATGCCAAAATCTGAGGAAAAAAATGAAAACAGAGGTTGGGGAAGCCACTAAATATCACTCATTCTGTGTGGGAGAGGGAGCTCCTGAGAGCTCATCCATCCCCTCACCTCCTCCCTCTCCGTGTCCATCTACATTAAGACTCCACTGCCTCAGGCACTCACTGAAATCCAAACACTTATTTTTTCCAGGGCCGGTAGAGTGGGTTCAGCATTGAGCAACCAGGGGAGGCTGAAGGCACCGCATTAACTTGACTTACCTCCAATCTTCACAGTGAAGTCCTCAGCTACCATGCAGTTCCTGGCAGCCAAATCTCTGTGGACAAATTTGTTGGCATTTAGGTACGACATGCCGTCGGCAATTTCCCCTGCCATCTGGATCATCTTTTTGAGCGGGGGTAGGACCTGGCTCGTGGCATTCTGGGGAGAGCACAGAGCACGAAAAAACACTGTTCAGTCAGCCACAGCGCTGGACACTGCTTACAGTTCAGCATTACAAAGTGAGGGCTGGATGCTGTGTGTGGAAATGTGGGTGTGGGAGAAGGGCCTCAAAAAGGGGGACAGGATGTGTGTATGTGTTTATCACCTATTTCTGTGTGTGTGGGTGTGTGAGGAAAAGCAGCTTACTTCTTTGCGTAGAGACCGCAGGTAGCTCTTGAGATCTCCACGGGTCATCAGCTCCATAATCACCAAGGTTGGCTGTCCCTGAGAGACCACGCCCAGCAGACGCACCTACACCAATCACAGTAGAGCACAGGTTGGGTATGATGAGGCAAAAGTCCCAAAAACAAAATATACTTTAAATCTAAGCAGGTTTTTCATATGTAGTGTCTAAGTATTGGCGAGTACACCATTATCTGCATCTGTAGCTGTATCTGTTCAACCAACTAAAACATCTGTATCCGAATTAGTACTTGAAATGAGGGGGTCTGAGAGTGGGTGGGACCTAAACTGGAGATGAGTGGGATCTAATTAGAAGTTGTCATTTTAAGCCTCAAATTGGTATGGGTTGATCAGAAGTAGATATGTTTATCATTTATTAGAAAACTACAGTACAGATATAGACCCATTTTATTTGAATAATACTCATATTCATTAAAAGTACATTATCTGTATCCATTTCATCGAGTATTCAGCTCAACTCTAGTAATGTGTTTGTATAGAAACATACTTAAAAAAAATGTTTTTTTTGTGTTGTTGATGGACACGGTTCTCCCACAATGCAATGCACAAAGGAAATGTAAGAGCAGCTGGGAAAAAATGTAACCACAGATGGTGATGAGACAGCTCCAGGATCCAGGAACACATCAGAAAACAAAAATAACTATGACAATTTTTGGAAAAACACTGACTTTCTCTGTGTGTGACAAATTTAACTGGCAGCTCGATTGATGTGCGATAGTGCATGCATTGTATTATTTCATGTTAGTATAAACCAGATGATTTCTTGTACACTGACTGCAAAAACAACAAAGATTGGTATTTAGTTTAAAGGTATACTATGCAGGATTATGGATTACTGTTTCTTAACAGGCTTGCCAGTGAAAGCAAAAGTCAACCCCAGATTCATTCTCATTTGGTCGCTACAGTTTTACAAAGCCCCGACCTTGCTTTAGCTCTATGGGTGTACATGCCCATAAACATCCCGAGCACAAAAAATGTCTGTCTCTGCAGGGGAATACATCCCTTACACTTCTAGTGGGTAATAAGTGATGATGGACAGGGGTTACTTCCTGTATGAGTCTATACATTGTTTTTTAAATCCTGCATGGTGTACCTTTAATGTATAAAATTAGTAGATAGTAGAAGCAGCTGTTTAATTGTTCATATTTTACATCTTATTTTCATATTTTAAAATACAGTTTCTCTTTAACTTGCTTTGAAGATTGTAAAAAAAAAAAAAAAATCCTTTAAATCATACAAATTGAATTTAATAATTAAGTGTTTGGCTTTTTAGCAGCCAGACTTAATAAAAAGGTTGTTACAGCAGCTTTCCGGAAGGGAAAAATCTTTAACACATCCGTTTAACGTAGTTAATGAGGCTGTGATCACGCTGATGAGAGAATCTACACAATCTCCAGGAGGCTAAACCATGCCTCGGGCTGTGGCTGCCTAAGTAAAGACAAGCACGTTGTACTCGGCGCTTGTGACCCGCTGACACCTTTCTCTCTGCATCTATGCAGATTAATTAGGAAATGATGATAATCGAGAGCACTTTCTTACTACCGGGTTCAATGTAATGATGTGTTGGTTTATTTTAAGCCGTGCTGTGGTAATGTATCTGCATTTATTCCAGGCTTTTCTCACTCAGGTGCATGATGGTGACCATGTCCACTGTGTCCATCTTACCACATGGTGACAGTTGAACTCCTTCATGACAGACGCTTCATTCAAAAACTCAATGCGCTCCCTCATGCTGGCCGACTCATTGACCGTCTTGATGGCCACCCGTGTTTCAGGTTCGTCCTTGACCACTCCTTTGGCAATGCCTTCGTACACCATGCCAAAGGAGCCCTGGCCCAGCTCCTTGTGCATTGTGATCTTCTCCCTGGCCACCTCCCACTCATCTGGGACATACACTGGCACAACACAACAGGCAGCACGTCAGCAACACACACACACACACACACACACACACACAGTGAAACGTAACAAGAAAAACACTGACGAGATATTGAATATTCTTACTATCAGCAGCACTGAAGTACTCAGGGTTGACAGACGCATAAAGGACTCCATTCCCCAATCTGTCGCTATTCCTGTTGACACAAAAACAGCTGAGTTAGTCAGCAGGCAGCTCCGATTGTGGACGGGATGTGTAATCCTCCATAAGAACTCTCGTCTTTACCACAGGGGAATGTTAATGAAAACAACACCTATTAACTCTAATTAACGTTACACTGGTCATTAAGTTTCATGAGCATGGCGAGGTAGAGCAACACTGTTGAGAGACTTTGTCTGGCAATGTGGAAAGTATGTTCATAAAAACACTTGCCTCTTCTTGTTGACGAAGAAGAGAATCGTGGTGATGCTGGCAATGAAAAGTGTCACTATGATGGGAATTATGATGACCAAGTAGAACGTAACACCATCGTCTCCTGCCAGACAGAACAGAGAAATACAAGTGATCAGCACTGACTAAAGGTGTCAGTTCTTATCAATGTTCAATTAGTCAAGAAAAATCCTAAATATACAGTATTTAAAGTGGGAGAAATGGTGTTTTACGTTTGGGTGGAGGCACGTAGAAGGACACGCTCTCCGTCCAGGAGCCGTTCCCCGCTAGCGAAGTGGCACGTACGTGAGCAGAGTAATTCCCCGAGCCCAGGTTGGTCAGCCGAGCTCCTTTGTGCTCCCGGTACTGTTGCCGCGACACACACTCGTGTTTCTCAGGCTGAAGCAAACACATGGTGGTTAATGTTTGAAAGACAGTGAACAATCAAAGTCAGTCAGAATCAGGTAAGGAGAGTAAAACGTAGAGTAAAAAGTATTGTGTTGTGTTTTCAAAAATAAATTCAATATAGGGACTTTCAGATCTATCACTTTATAGTCCTGCCCCACTAAAAATCTATTTTGCTTATTGTTACTTCACTTGAACACTTGAGCTTTACTTTGCAGAAAGAATAATGTGCACAGTATGACACCACACTTGAAGGCTGTTTTCACATTTATCTGCTAGTGAGGGAATTCTTAAGATGTGTTGGCAACATGAAGTAAAATAGATATTTTGTCACACATATAAACTTTGTAAATGCACAATATTTTCATATGCATGCGTACCATAGAGATCAATAATGGATGTCAATGTTGACAATTTTTAGAATTTTTAACTACATCATTGAACTTTTTGTGGAAAAACCATATGGAGACAAATTATTACACCAAGCAGTATTCATATATTCTTAAGTATTTTGTCTTAAAGGTCCAGTGTGTAGGATTTAGGGGGACATATTGGCTGAAAGTGAATATAAATGGTATGTTTTCTTAATTGTATAATCACCCGAAAATAAGAATGGTTGTGTTTTCTTAACCTTAGAATGGGCCTTTTATATCTACATAGGGAGCCTGTCCTTGTCTACAGAGATCGCCATGTTGCACCAGCATGTTTCTGCAGTATCTCTGTACAGACAAACCAAACACTTGCTCTCAGGGCCATTCACATTTTGGTATTGGACGCTGTATTTAGCAGCCCCTCCGCAACAAACAGTGTCGGAAAAACACAGACTTTTTTAATGTGAAACTTTACTCTGTGTTTTCTCTGGTTTAAATCACCTGATCTGTTTGTTCAGAAAAAGAAGAGACCTCTGTGGATAATTTGGCTCCTGGTAAAGACCTCCTGAATGTCTAGATCTTATCGAGTTATTAGAGAAAAAGGTGAGCACACATTTGCAGATGCTAGGCTAACAGCTGTTTATTGATTCAGCTCTTTGTAAAAAAAAACAAACTCCTGAATAAAGAACACTGTCGGAAGCCTACTCAGGGGTTTCAGCTGGTTGCAATCTGCAACCCTCACTGCTACACGTCACTACATCTCCCTAAATCTTACACACTGTTCCTTTAAAACACGTCCGAGGGAATCTTTAGTTATACTCACCTCAGTCCCCAGACGGAACTTGATCTCATACATCAGGATGAGTCCGTTGGGCATGGCGGGCTCTGGCCAGTGCAGCACCACACAACCTTCAACCTTATCACTCCTCTCAAAGATCACCTTTCCAGGGATGTCATCTGCTTTGACTGGGAAACACACGCACAACATTACAACAAGCATTGTCTACAGTGTAATAGCAGCATACTGTGCCACACTTTCATCGAAGATTGTATTCAGGTCACTCTCTAACCTGCAGGTTTGGTCCTGGAGAAGACGAAGGCTCCAGCGCTGCAGCGCCCCACCTCTTCGTTGCAGGCGTGGATGTCGATGCGGTAGACAGTGAAGGGCCGCAGGGTGGGGATCTCTAAATATTCTACTGAGCTCTTGTCTTCTGAGAAGGGGTATTCTCTGATAGGAGGAATGCCATCTGTACTGTTATCCCCCGGGCCCATGGAGGTGTTCCCTCGACCAACACCGTCAGGCAGCAGTGTGTTGTTAGCCACACCAAAAATATCTCTACGTCGACGATCTGGAGGTCTGAAATAAAGAGGATGCAACAGCTGAAAGAAACCTGATTTTGAAAACGGTCAATGGTCAAATACTGAATACCGAGTTAGACCGAATGACCCCCTGGAAATGAGACCTAACAACCAGCTATTTTTCTCCAGAGTTACATACAGCACTTTTAAGTATAATAAGCACTGTTATTATGATAAAAGACAGAAAGATGTACAGTATGTCCTGAATATCTTATCGTCAGACATAAGTGTAGGTTTATAACTCCCAAAAGCATTTTACACATAGCTGAAGCATCTCACAACCGGGTGGAGTGAGTGTATGTGTATGAGTGTGTGTGTGTGTTTGCCATGTATCCAGATGCTGCATACTACTCCCTGCGGAGCTGTGTGGAAGGATGAGGTCAGACAGATCACAGCGAGGTAGACAGACAGAAAAAGAGAAGTTTTCCAGAGTAAGAAAAAGAAAAAACTTTCTGTCTGACAAGAGGAAAAAAAGCTGACATGACAGAAAATATGGCTTTTATCTCTGTAACACTGACATCCTGAACCAAACTGTTCAATCATAATGACCAATTTTCAGCAGCCAAACTGAGGGCATTGTGTCGAATGGACATGTGGTCTCATAGTGCAGATGATAAGCTGTGGAGCCACCTGGAGCTGGACATCGTCATTACTGAGGGCAAGCAGGTGCTGACAGCTGTGGCTGTCGCAGCAGCAGAGGCACATCAGACGCCGCGGGGCACGCTGCCTACAGTAGCTACCTGCGAAATCGTCAGCTGAGACAGACGGACAAAGAAAAGTGTCCCGACTCTGATTGAGTTTGAAAATGAAAGCTCTATCGACAGCAGGCGACAAAAGGTGATGAACAGTATATGGAGCCTTTACGGAGCTCTTACAAGGTTATAAATGTTCAGGGGTTGTTTGGAAATGTAATGAGGACAGCATGAACAGGTGGCTAGGTTTTATTGCAGCGTATAAAACAGCACAGATATGATTCAAACTGCAGACTGGGGATTAACAACTAACTGTCATTTTCATTGTTGATCAATTCACAGATTTTGTCTTCAATTTATCGATTCATTGTTTAGTCCATAAAATGTGAATAATGCCCATCATCATTCCCTTACAGGGTGGCTCCATTATTTATTGATTTTTTTTTTTTAAAAGGTTTTTATATCTTTCTGTAGCTTTCCAGTAGTTTAGCTGATGTATTAAGATACAAAATTTGAATCTAAGTATATATGTTTCAGCCTGAAAATGCTATTTTGTCAAGCTCCTCTTAATAAACTGTTTCCTGCGTGACCTGACATAGGTTTCTGCACAACATCGCTGTTATATAAACCCATGAACTAATGTGGACACCATGTTATTTTAGTTCCCAAAGTAACACAGTAACAGACAAACTAAACTAGACCAGCAACTTCCATGTGATGTGTGGTAATGTTACTGTGTCTGTCAACTGAGTCTGAAGGCTTTAAAGAGAGAGCGTAGATACAAATAATCAACACTGTAATTCACATCAGTGGCTCCCAGTGGTTTCACAGTTTAATACATTCAGCGTCATACTTGCGTTTGGCCATGTCGTTAAGCTAGTTTGCTGTCTCTGTCAAGTAGCGGTCTGTTAGTATCTTACTCTACAGCAGAAAACAGCATTTCAAAATAAAAGCTCTGCGCTGGAAATTTACAGTACTTAAAAATAAAGTGTGTTTACAAGCTTGACACGTTCACGAGTCACCTGCGGTCCGTTCAGAATGGGCCCATGGCCCAGTTTTGGACCACGACCCACTAGTTGGGAACCACTGCTCTGAATCAGCACTTTCTGGTAACGACTGAGGGGGAGTTTCAATTTGAAAAACATTCAAAAGAACACAGATGGACCTGCCCTCTAGCCCGAGGTGATTCCTAAAAGGTACTTGTTTTGTCCAGCTAACACTCCAAAATCCAAAAATATTCAATTTACTATCAAACAAGACAAACTCATCACAAATAAGAAGCTGGACACTGAGATTTTTTTGGCATTTTTGCTTAAAATTGCTTAAAATTAGATTATTAAAATAGCTGCTGTTCATTTATCTGGTAATCAACTTATTATTCATCTCTACCAAGAGTAATAAAAATTCTCAGCTCAGACTGAGCAAAGCATCTTTTGTGTCTGAGCAGACATACACCTACACCATGAGTGTACAGACACAGAAAGATCCGTGGGAAAGACCAGTCGCACTGACATGTCAACATTCATCTCTGGCAGTTATAAGTGGAGCGGTACAATCCCAAAGTCCAGCACTCGAAAACTGCTACTGTTACTACTGGAAAACACATAAAAAAACATATGAAAACTGACAGGAGAGTTATGGATGGAGGGACACAGATTTGCACTAGTAAACCTTGAGCTATCCTGTATCAAAAGTGATAGAAAAAGAGGAAGATAGATGGATAGACCCCACCGAGAGGCCAGATGAAAGACAACTTGAGGGATCCAATTTCTGTATGTGCAATGATAGTGTTGTGGTTAAGCAGGGCGGTCTGAACACTGTGAGAAAGCTCTTCAGCTGACTGAAGCATGACCTTATAACTAGTGAGTTACTACAGTTAGTGTCCTGACCTCGCCCGCTAAAAAAAGATCTACCTTTACGCAATGGAATCCAGAGAGGAAAGCCGTGACTACACATTCAGTCTGTGGTGAGTAGGGCACATTATTAGCCTTTAGCCTGCACATACTACAGGCTCACAGAGAAGAGCGAAAGATGTCTGGATCTGACAGAAGAGGTAACTTCCAGGGAGTCCTTATCATCTAATCTCGTATATATTCATCATAAGTTTCAACAGCAGGCGATTACAGTAAATAAATGCTTCAGTCAGCTGATAACAGGTTTTGGATCGTACCACAAGGTCTCCTAAACAGACACTGGCAGCCATCCTTTTTGTGCAGCCACCCTCCCTCCCACTCCACCACTAAATCAGTCTGCCTTCCTTACTTTGTGTTTGTCTTCTATTGCTGATGGGGCTATTCCCTCATTCATTTGAATTCCAGATGGATTCACTGTACATTTCCTGGCAGCTGTCTCACTCCAGAAAAAAAACAGAAAAAAGTCCCGGACAAAGAGAGCGTGCAAGGGGAGGAGGAGAGGAGTGCCGAGTGGAGGGGAACAGAATGGAAAACATTTCCTCTTCTTTCTGTTTCTGTTTTCACCCGCCCTCTTTCCCCTCACCCCGGGTCTAAACCCTGAACTTTTGAAAAAACCTCCCTGATTTCGGAGCCCTTTCCCTGGAGTGGTTTGTAATAATGCTGGCTCTGTTACAGTGGAGAGTCTGTGCATACACAGGCTGAGCCCTTCGCTGCAGGCCCAGGACCTGCCATCCGCTCGTTTCCTAGACAGCTATACTATAACAAATCAACACAGCCAGAGAGAGGAGGAAAGAGGAGGGAAGGGGGGGGGGGGGGCAGATATGAGTTCAATTACAACAGAGAGCTGTTTTATTATTCTTCTTCCAAAGACATATCGATCCAATTCCACAAGAGCATTGCAAAGGAATAAAGAAGGGCACTGTAACGCTGTTTGAATGAATGAACTTTGGAAGCTCAAAGGCATTGTTTAAGGCTATGGATTTATAAGATACCTGCTGAGTGTTCTTCGCAGGAGGCAACAAGTATATCAAAGGTCTCCATATTTCACTGAGATGGATGTTGCTGATGGAGTGTAACAGCTCCAATCTACAAAATGCACAGATTGTGTGTGGCTGTCTATATGAGAATAAAGGAGGGTGGGAAGAGAACGGAGCGAGAGTTTTTGAAACAGTGAAACATCCTTCGCCACGAGCAAGTTAAATGATAACACAACACAGATGTCAGTCCCTATTGTGGGGAACAAAAGCTTGAGCAGCTACGAGTGTGCAGCCAAACAAGGCCCTTCAGACTCCTTAATCACATCTCTCTCCTGGGTTTGTTTGTGTTGCCTAAATTGCTGCCTGCTAGGTCCTAACATCCCCCGTGCCACCGTTGCCACGGCAACGTGAAGCCACAAGAGCACTGAGAAGGCTTTGGATCCTACTCAGCGTGTCTCCTCATCTGCGCTGCCCAACAAAAGGGCCGAGCCCAGCGGGCCGGCTCAGCCCCCGTCAGGTCCCTCTACACCCCCATGCTCGGATCCTGTCAGCTCCACAGAGGAGCCATTACGACCCGGGCCGCCACCTCATCCCTCACTTTGCCCACTCAAGGCAAACAAGTTCAGCTCTTTGATGGCCATCAACACAGAATGAAAGGAGGCAGAGAGCAGGAGCTGTAAACAGTTTAGGGAGACCACTGTGAGGCTGATATTATATCTCATCTACGTCTGTGAGTTACTATACCTCGGCAGAAAGATGGCATTGTGAAGGAAGTTCTCAAAGATTTTAAAGAAGACGCGGTCATCCTTCTCCCGGTCTTTCTCCTCAGGCGTCTTCTGGCAAACACAACACGGGCCCTTCTCTGCCCCTGCCAGGTCTGACTTGGTGGGCTTGGTGTTGTCTTCCATGTCTGTGAACCCCGTGGCTGGGATACGGACCGGGATCTTCAGCTCTGTTTTAGGAGAAACCAAGAGGGGTTAGCAACAGGAAGCACTCTGCATCATCAAAACAGCTGCTTATAATAGATTCTGACACACTTCCTGCACAAAGTTATGTGTCAGTATGAAAGATATACTATGAAGCATTTTCCTAACAAACAATGTAGAGACTCATACAGAAATAATCCCTCTCAGTCACCAACTTATGATCCACTAGTAGTTTGTGGTGGTGTGTGTTCCTGCAGATACTCTGCCCTCTGCCTTTATTTTCTTGTTTTCCTCTCATTTTCTTTTTTTGGGAAATTTATGGGTGTGTAACCAGCGCTCAGGTGAAATGAGCGAAATGTTACTTTAACTTATGGTGGTGAGCGTGTTCACAAACAATTACCGACAATCCCACATAGTACACCTTTAAAGGAACAATCTAACATTTTGAGAGATAAATATATTCACTTTCTTGCTGAGAATAAGATGATAATATTGATACCACTCTTATGTTTGTGTGTAAATATGAAGCTACAGCCAGCAGCTAGTTAGCTTAGCTTAGCATTGGAAACAACTAACCAGACTCCCCGTTTCCTGTCTTTATGCTAAGCTAAACTAACTAGCTGCTGGTTGTAGGTGCATATTTAACAAACAGACATGAAAGTGAAAGCAAATAAATGTATTTCCAACAATGTCTGGCTGTGGTTTTTTTTTTTTTATTATTATAAGGAAGGACTTTTCAGTAGCAAAGCTCCGACAATAAATAGATGGTTGCTGTTTTGTAGAATGACTTATGCACACCTTTGGAGCAGTAGTTATGATGGTACAGCTCCCTGTCCTCAGGCTGCTGCTGCCAGCGGACCAGGTAGTAGGTCAGATTGCCGTTGGGAAAGACTGGAGGTGACCACTTCACCATTAGCTTGGTCGAGGAGTTGGCATATGCACGGGCGTCTTTGGGCACAGACGGCACTGCAATGGAGACAAAGTCACAGTATGTTAGATTAAAATGCTGTTCAGTAATTAGAATGTAGCATTGCAATCACTAATTATTTCCACAGACAGACTTACGGGATGGCCGTGTGCGAATGTAGATTATATCACTCTTTGCTCCAGTAATGTGTTTGTCCTCCACCTGCAGGGTAATGGCCTTCACAAAAATAGCATACTGGGTCCAGGGCTTGAGGTGTTGAAGAGTGACTTTTGGGTCAATGATTTTATCCAGAGGGAGATCCACGTCCACCATGTGCCAGCTGTTTGAGCCACAGCCATCCTGCCCGTCAAACTCTGTGATGTTCTGGAAAGGGCTGGTGAAGGCACAAAACATTGCACTGACAAAAAGGACTAAACACAACATGTTCACCATTTACAAAAGAAATGACATCCATGACATCTAGTACGAAAGTAAAACACATTCTAGGTCATGTTTGAAGATATGATTCATGTTTGCCAATTGTTGTTGGACATTTCCGGGACCATTTTACAAAGCAAACCATGCAATTTTTGGGTGATTACCTACCTTCAAGGCAGCTTTTTGTTTCGCTGAGTACAAGTACAATAAGAGAATCTGACAGGTAATCAAACCCAGATCTCAAACAATAAGCAGACATGGATGTTGTGAACATGATGCTGTCAATTTGGTTGTTTGTATTGCATTAGAGGAATTCTTCTGTTGGTCATCTGAGTGCCTCGAAGGCAGGAAAGCCATCCAAGCGCTCAAACATTCTCTTTGGAAAATGGTTGTCAGTAAAATGAGGTGCACACAGTTTGCAGTGATTGGGGCAAAATATGTAAAACCAGACAGATATGATCATGTGAGATTTAGTTTGTCCTAAAAATGCTCTGATTGAGTGGAACCTTGTGTCTGAGACATTAAAGATTCAGTGTGTAGGATTTAGTGGCATCCAGCAAAACTGAAACTTCTCCTATGTGCCCAGCTTGTAGGAGAGCCAAAGTTGGCCAACACAAATATGAGAAAATGTGAATGGCCCTATCTAGAGCCAGTGTTTGATTTGTCTGATCTGGGCTACTGCAGATAAACATGGCGGACTCCGTAGAGGATGACCCACTCATTCTAAGTTAACAAAGGATTCTACTTTCAGACGATTATAAACTAATGACAACATAGTTATATACCATTTCTGCCAATAGATGCCCCTAAAGCCTACACTCAAATGACTTGTTTGTCTTCTGAGTACTCACGACTCCTTGTAGTAGACTATGAAGCTGATGAGGTCTCTGTAGTACGGCGGCCGGTAGCGCTCCCAAGACAGCTTGATCGTATGGCTCGTTGTGATGTTAGACTTGAACTTCAAGATATGGCTTTCACCTGTTGCAACAGAGCAGGACACTCAGTGAGACACATAAAATACTCAAATGATATGTCATGGTTTTTTAAAGGGGAACACAACCGATATGATAATTACAATATGTTATTTCCATGGCCTTGGAAAGTTTGATCAATATTTGTGAACATGAGCTACTCTCTCTCAAAGCCAGAAACCAGAAAAGTTAGTCTCAAACTTGTGATGTCATGAAGTAAAAAGTCTAGAGCTGATCCATAGACAATGAATACTCTACATGTCATATTCACCCATTCACACACACACATTCACACACTGGTGGCCAAGGCTACCACCCAAGTTGCCACCTCCTCACTTTTTAGACATTCACACACCGACGACACAGTCATCAGGAGCAATTTGGTCCACAGTATCTTGCCCAAGAACACTTCGACATGTGCTTAGTGTGTTTGGTGGACGATCTGCTCTACTTCCTGAGCCACAGCTGCCCTACAAATGTACCCAAATACTCAGAACATTCCCCTGGGTTCTCTCAGTATCATCTATAACATCCTCCCTAATTCATTGTCTATGGAGCAGCCCCAGACTTTATACCCTATGACATCACACTCAATTTAGCACCCAATTTTTGTGATTAAGGAGAGTTATTCATGTTAACTAATACTTTTGGACTGTCTTAGACTGTAAGAAAAACATGTAGAAATTTTTAAAATGGGTGTAGTTCCTCTTTAATGTCCCCACGTACTGCATGACTGCACACACTCACAACAAGAATGTAGATCAAAATATACTGCATATACTCACAGCTGGCTCTTTCACCGTTGTTACGGAAATCTCCCTCCTCTGGCCTCACAGTTATGCCTGTCTTTTCCCACATCTTGTGGATCTCAGACATGCACAGTTTGGGGTTCAGTCGGAAGAAAAGACGTCCATTCCCAATAGTCAGGTTGTGCTGATTCCAGTCCCACAGATGCTGCAGGTGCTGGTTGTTGATGGCGGAGAATGCATACATGCTGATAACGGAAGGAGATCAAGAAGAGGTTAAAACCGTCTCTAATAGATGAACAAAAAGGTAGTTTTATTGTAAGTGAACATGTTTTCTGAGAGATTAAGTTGTCAGAAATGTGGTTAAAAACATCTTCTTTTTGCCACCTGGTGGCAGCGTTAAGCACTGAAACAGGTAGACGTCACATGAGGTCAGGTTTGTGTGTCTGACACACAATGAGCCTGGGACTGTACAGAGGAGGACATGAAACAGACACAGTGCCGTGCTAACACTCTGAGCTGTGGCAGTCAGTAACACAGCAGAACACCTCCAGAGCGAGAGGAATGTCTGCCATCCTCAACAGCATTCCTCTGAGTGAAACTGTACCCTGGGAGAAACGACAACAAGAAGGGCGACAGGATTTCCCATGACCCCTTTGGCCATTACCAAAAAAGCTTTCCCTCATAAATAAGACTGCTGCTGATACCACAGTTTGATGGACCTGAGACTTTCCATTTGTAGCCACAATCACTTATCTGGCCTGTCTGCAGGACTTAGTGAATCATTTAAAAAATGACACTGCAATACACAAGACGCTGATATATTTAGACTTATAAACTTACATTAATGCACGCATTCAGCGTCCGGGGCAGACACTCATTCAACAAGCAGTCACTCTGACATTTATGTAACTTCAATGATACGTTGGTGGCAACCTCCCTGCTAGGCTGCGGTCTGCTCATGTCCTCTAATTCCCTCAGTCACCACGCAGACAAGCATGCACACATTCACAGACACAAAGTGCAGACAAACAGCGCAGACATACTTGTCGATGAGTTCCTGCCCATTGATGTAACGCAGGCTCTTGAGGAAGGACAGCGAGCCAAGTGCGTGGGAGTGTCGAATCTTCACATAGCCCGTCACTTTCTGAATCAATCCCATGAAGCTCTCCAGCTCAGACGCTATGTTATCTGGGGACAGGGGATGAACACACTCAGATGCAAAGCAGAGAGCCACATTGAAAAAAAAAAAAGAAATCCACAGGGATCTCCACTGCTACTATGACACTCGGGCTAGCTCTTAATGCAAATATCCCGATGAGCTTTATCATATGTGGAGATTAGCTCGTGAGCTGCCCTGTCGACTGAACAAATAAACAGCATTATAGCATAATGTGATAATTGGGTTAGAGTGCAGGAAGCAGATGTAATGTTGATTTTGTGGCCCTCACTGCGGATCCCAGCAGCTTAGACCACACAGCCATTCAACTTTATCTGTATCAGTAATCATAATATTTGCTGGGCAGTCAAGTGTAGCGAGGTTAGTATCATAATGGGTGGCTATAGTGTATTGTATGAGAGATTGTAGCTGAATTAAAAATGAGCCTGCTTGTGTAGCGTAGTACGGTCTACAAAGTTTAGTTACGCTACAAGATTTACATTATATGTGCCACTAAAGGGTAACTTTGGTGTTTTCCAACCTCTACCCTATTTTCTTATGTTTGTGTGTCAAAGTGACCGATAGGACAAACACATTTTTGAAATTGGTCCAGTATTGGGCAAGACTGCTTCTGCCGGCAGCGTCAAAACAGGCTGCAATGTAACCACTCGAGGACAACTTTATTCAAAGGAACCCTACAGCTTCCTTGTTAAAGAGTAAGATCTTTTTTGTTCATTGAGAAACAGCCCTGAAATGGTCATCAGCAAACACACCAGACTCCATTTAAATACACGGTAATTCGAGTGTGCATAGAACCGGTATATTTTCACATCTAACTGGGTGAATTAAAGGTTTATTTCAACCAAACCAGAGTTGGGGATTGTTGAAACAGTGGACAAACAAACCAAGGTGGCTTTTGTGAGATTTATTTTGATTCTATTGACTTTGAATGGAGTGTGTTTTATGATGATAAAATTAATGTTTATTTAAATGTAGTCTGGTGGGTTTGGTGATAGTGATATTGGGCTGTTTCTGGTTCAACAAAAAGGATCTCTCTCCTTTCCAAAATGTTGTCAGACACCTAGAATAACAATTTAAGCCTGTCTGTGGCAAAAACAAATACTTTAAAGCCCTGTTTCCACCAAGCAGTGCGGCACGCTTCAGCTCAGTTTGGTAAAAACGTTGTGGATGGTACCAAACGAACTGTTCCGTACTGTCCCCATTTTTGGTCCCCCCTCTGTTGGGGTACCTAGCACACAGATCTCCTTTACTAAAAAGTGGAGCTGTGAACACTGCAGTCTGTTGACTGGTCAACAGAGGACGTCACTCTGCTCAGGGCTGAGTTGTGGCTGGTTTTGAGGCTCATGTAACCTCTGTTCTACTGTGGAGAGTTTTACACATATTAGTAAACACTGGGCTGAAGGCCAGTGGCTTTTAAGATGGAGCGTTTACTTGTAATGTTACTCAATGCATGAGGTGATGATGTGAATCCATCAGCACACCTTAAATTTCAGTGTGACAACTTTGACCATTACTTTAGTTTTTATATGACACAAACTTTTAGTTATGAGTTGATCTTCAAGCATTTAAAAATATATATATAAATTTTGACCAGATATTTTTGCCTTTGATGGACTTAATACACAAACCCGCCATTTTTAAATATCCCATCGAGACAGACTCACTGCAGCCTGTTCTGTGGACAATAAATGAGGTGCATACTGATAAATGAGGAAATACAGCTGGACGGAGCAATAAGGGACATCAACCCCGCTGACATGAAAGAGTACTGTTTGTGGTGGAAACACTAAGCGGACCTAGGGTCTAGGTACCATGTCTGAAGGGTTACTTTTGGTTCCTAAGGTACCATACCAAAAATCTTTGGTGGAAACAGGGCTTAAGTGGACATGAACTGATGGAGCACAAATGCCCTTACTGGTTACATTGCAGCCTGTTTCGGCACTGCCAGCTGCAGTGCTCTCGCCAAATATTGGACCAACTTCCAAAACTGTTTCCATCACATTTGTCACTTAGACACAAAAACATGGAGAAATAGGGTCAAGGTTGAAAAATACTTAAGTTAACCTTTAAAAGCACTATGCTTCTGTAAAGCTTCACTCACTTCCACGGCGGATGTTGATGTCCAGGTTGCCTTCGATGACAGTGCAGTCCTTCAGGGATTGAGCAGCATCCACAGAGTCGATGACAGGTGATGTGCAGGGCTTATCACACGGGCCGTTGCAGGCATTGCATAACATGCTGTACACAGCACAAACAAGAAGGAGGGAGTAAATAAGGAGAAAGAGAAAAAAGTTGGAACTGTCAGAGAATGAGCAAAATCTTCTGTGAACTTTTCTACCTCACCCTGAAATCATTCGTCCACTCCCTAGCTCCCAAGCATTCCAAAGGATTCAGGCAAATAAATTCAGTGCATGATACAAGGTCACCTCTCACACAGAGAGTTTAATCTTTTATGGGCCCTCATCTGAACTCTTGTTTCGTGAGAGAGTGACTCACTGTATTGACCTCAGAGACAAAACAGCCGTGGTATGGCCAAAAAATATACAGCAGCAGTGTCTGCGTGGAAAGTTTGGGAATTGACGAGACAAAACAGGGAGGAACGTTGCACACAAAGAAGTTTTCTTGTTCTGGGTTAATGTCAAACAAAGGAAATGTCAAGTGGACATTTTGGTTGAGTCTCTCCTTAAAACCACTGAGTATTAATCTGTAGAGTGGTGAAAACAAGGCACTATGTTGAGCACCTTTCACTCTTTCTAAACAGTCTGAGAAGTCTAAACTTGAATCGTTAACAGTCCAACATGCTCTTGACCTCTCGCACTTCCAGCTTTGAGTCCTACTTTAAGAAAGGAGCCCGTGAAGGACCAGGTCAGGTGAAGTTCAGCTCAAGGATATTTTATGCAAATGAATTCATTATGCAGGAGTACACAGTGAACACAAGTGGCTTTAGTGTCTGTGAATACTGAAGAGAAACCACACTGCTCTGCACCCAGAAATTAGCCAGGAAATAATACTAAGACCTCTGGCTCTGTGTGTGTAAAAGACCAGGTTAGATGCCGAACGAATTAAACTCGGAACATTAAACAAAGAACACTTGAGAAATCTTGGATATACTGTAAAATGTTTCAAGGAGCCCTTCCTAATATTTCGTACATTCAGTGTGTCACCTGACATGACATTTCCAAATCACCAGGAGCTTAACTAGGAGTGAAGGGTATGTCTTTACCGATTAGTCTCGTTGCGGGTGAAGCCAGAGGGGCAGTCGGGCATGCACTCTCCCCCGTGGATGACGAAGTGAGTGTCGCCGGGCAGGTGCACTTGGGAGCACAGGTCCATGGTGATGCAGCGCCAGCCCTCAAACTTGTAAGTGTCCCGGGGACAGTCCGGCACACAGCGACCCTCGTGGTAATAGTGGAGGCAGGCGGAGCACGCCATGTCATTGTTGGGTTCGGTGCAGCTGCCCAGGCACTGGCTGTGGCAGCACTCCCCCTTGTCTGTGCAGGCGAGCTTGCAGTGTTGTGGGCATACTGGAGGAGACAGAGAGAGATGGGAAGAGGTCAGTTTTGGGTGGAGTTAACAGTTTCTCCTGGGCGCTATTACAACACCAAGGATGACAAAGGTCAAAAAGGGTACAGAAGTAATGCCTTTAAAGGACAGATTGTGATTTAAATGTCAAGTACAAATGTTAAAGTAAATGAGTAAATGAGTAAGTAAGTTAGTAAATGATGAACGTAGACAATGATTTCAATGATACTAAGATGCGTTTTGTTATAACTGCTTGGTAACAGGCCGGAACGCATACATAAATAGGTTAAAGAGAAGTATGGAGTTCGTGTGCATACCCAATATGTGCACATATACACTCAGTTGCCAGTTTATTAGGTACACCTCGCTGAGAAACTGTTACATACCCCATTTTTTAAGCCAAATCTGCAACCAGAGAGCCACTAAAAAACAGAACTACATAAAATCTGAACATCTTTGCAATCAAAGTTTATTAGTGGATTGTTTAGACAGAACCAATATATCATCTTGTCATTAATATTCTTCTATAATGGAAAAAAGACAACTGCAGTTTAAAAAAAAACAAAAAAACACTCCCACTACCACTAGTGTCTCTACAAAAGAACTACCGTATGTCCTTCCAGGCTGTGAGAGAAATTGACAGAAAAACGATTGTGTGGGGTGTTTCAAATTAAGCTTGAGCAACATGAATAATAGAAGCTCCTCGCTGTTTACTGCGCATCACCGAGAAACCCAAACCCACAACAATATGTTATCAATGACACGCAGCATTTTCCCGTTGCTTGGGACAGACATTTGACAGATTGTGCATCCTTACAGTTTGTCAGATTTATTGAGCACAGCTTAGAAAATGACCAGTCATATATCAGCCTGCAGCTGTAGAGAGCAAGTCTTTCTGAAGCCAAACTCTGACACGGAATAGACAAAAGTTACTCATTCAGGTAATTAGATGGAAATTAGGTCAGTGCTTGTTTTGTAGATTTACCAACTACTCCTGATCTCATCGGCTTTACACTCAGATTAACAGTGACGAAGATGAAATAGGTGAATGGGAGGCATCTTCTGTTTTCAATGCTCAAAAGCATTTTTACTGTTGCCTATTTATAGAGAGGCACTTCTGCAAAAGCAGATGTAAAAGGGAGAAAGCAGATGATTTCCCACTGCTAACTAATCTTGAGACACTGCAGGCAGGGGTGTCCTAGTTTCAGACGAGTCCACTCCATAGAAAAAGCACCTGGAGTGTGTATGTGTGTGTGTGTGTGTGTGTGTGTGTGTGTGTGTGTCTGCCCTTGTATGAATGATTGTGAAAGGCCTGGTGACAAGGTGCTTTCTGCTAATGATTGTTCACTGTTTGAGGAGCCTCTGTCTAGATAAAGAGCTGCCCTGGGAAAGTCTGAGTCAGAGTTTCAGGTTTCTTTTGGGAAATGTTTCACAGATAAGCAATCGATTATAGTTTATTTGAAAGCTCTTTTTGCATATTAGAAACTGTGCAGGCAGCAAAGACCTGCCTCCCCTGCACCCTTGTGTTGTTTGTGTATTACTGCCTTAAGTGTTTACTATTTATTGTTATGCTCTTTGTTATTCCTGCAAGACAAATTTCCACACAGGGGCAATAAAGCTGAACTGAACTACACTGAACTGAACTGAAATAAGAGGCACAGCACTCCTGGTTCCTTAGCAACCGCCTCCTGGTGTAAAGCCAGAGCTAGAAGAAAATGTGCATGCACACACAACCATACACGCTCAGACAAAAGTACACGAAAACACACATTCTACCACTCTCTTTCACATGTATTATTATAATGTGCAAGACCGTCACACTACACGTATTACTACACTGTCATGAGTGTCAATAATTCCGCCGTCAGCCATAACAGATGCATCTACAGGAGTGCACATGATGAAAAATGAGTGTGCATGTGTGTGTGACGTGTGCACATGTGAGTTGGTATGTGTGTGCCAGATAGCGGAGAGGAAAAGGAGCTCCGCTTGTTTATTTGCTTTTAAATTAAACACGGGTGTCGGAGCATCGCTGGTTCGCTTTGTGAATCAGTCAAGAAAATGAAGCCGGCTGCTGAGCTAATCTCTTGATGAATATTTCATGTTGCTTTACAAAAACATCTGTGTAGGTTAAGAACGTGACGGTGCACTACAGTAATGCTGCAGAGCAAACACACACACACTCCCACGGTGCCAGCTCCAGTTTCGCTCCACGAGGGAAGGGGAATGATCGTTCCCACTCCTGACAAGTCTCCCAAATACTTGCCATTCTTTCTCACATTCAGTCAAATCTAATAGGGCAGGAGAGGTGAAATGGGCGGTTTGGAAAATTTCTTCAGGATTCTATGACAAAAGAAAAAACAAAAGAGTATTTCCTTAAAAGAAAATCTCATTCACTAGACCTGATACAGTATCTTTACGTTCAATACACTGCAGCACCTCAGGAATTTCCAACAACACTCTCCTGATAAGACAGGCCTTGAGATTACGCAGCAGTTACTGCAGTAAGAGTGTTTTCATAATGTAGAGTATTTAGCTCTATGGCCTCTCCTGTGCTCTACGTACACACTCTGCCACACCGGGAGTTGACCGGCTCTGCGGTACCTCATGAATAGTGTATCTAACTATTCTGGATCTGCTCCAAAACAAACGGCAACGATCTTTTTTTAAAACTACAGCGTCAAACGCCAAGACACACAGCTTCTCACATGACAGCTGTGATTTGATTGGAAATATGATGCTCACATTAGAGTGTTTAAAGCGGGCAGATCAGTGTTGCACATTTGCAGGGTGAGGAAAAAAAAAAGAAGAAGAAGAGAGAGGAACATCAGGGAGGCTTCATTTTCTTGGAATCCGACCAAAAGGGGGCAGCCAAGGCAAACTCTAATGAGCCTTATTGGAGGAGGTCCCTTCCTCTCCCGCATCATTTTAACAGATTCCTCAATGGAGAGAAATTCCAAACATGCATACCTTCCGCCAGAAGAAAGCGGAGGGAGGGGGAGTCGCTGCCTTAAATCCATATAAGTCGACCCGGTTTCACTGTGTGACCAAACAACCCGTGGTATCAAGGATACAATCCTCTATTTATAGATGCTCCTAATGCGGCCCTATTTCCACGCTGCTGCTCTCTACACATAGCTATGCAGGGCATTGTAGGTTTCCACTACTTCAAAGGAAAGGGACTACTTAACAAGGGGCTCCTCTTAAGATAAGACGTCATCATCCTTGCAGTCTCCTTATGGGATGTTTGATATGAGCAGGAATAAATCAGAAGCATCAGCAGGCTGGGATTTGACCTTATGTAAGTACACAATGTGTCACATGAAGTAACTGTTGCAGGGAACAAACTGCAGAGACAAAAACTTTGTCAATGCTCTGAGGCTGTGGAGTCAAATAAGTCAAACGGCTGGGAGTGGGGGTGGGGAGGTTTATGATGTTGTTCCTCTCATACAGTAGTTACACAACCCCCCTCCCCTCCTGCTCTCTCCCTAAGCAGTCAGGTCAGACACCATAGCCAACCACCGGCCTGCCTCTGCTGCTCACCAGAGCACTGCGACACGTGGAGTGGCCAGGTCCATTTCATCAATAGTAAGCGAGGCGACAGTCAGCACTGAGGAGTCTCCTTCTAAGCAGCTCGTGCATCCCCTACAACCGCCATTAAATACGGCAGCAGCGCGAGGGGAGAGGCACCGGCGACAGCGCTGAGAGAGACAGACAAGCACTGTGCACTGTTTGTTTCTTGTTCTAAAGGTGTCCTCCAGTCTCTGGACTATGCGAGGAATCCGCAGAATGTGTCAGGCCGCAGAGGATTCAAGGGGGGGAATGTTAATCCCTTGTTCCGCTGCAGCAACACAATAATAATTTCAGGAATTACTACAGAAACCTGAGATGAGGAGGCTATTTTGGCAACAAACATGATCATGGAGGTGAAATGAGAGATAAGAAAAGAGGAACATGAAGCTGAAAATAAAATAACACGCGAGGATATAAGTTCTGGTCTTGCACAAAAAAAATGAGACTGCAGTAAAGCAGAAGAGGTGGCAAACATCAAATCCATTTCTCTGTCAGGCTGGCCTTGCCTTCTTAAAGCGCAGCATGCAAGTGGGGTTCAGGGTCATGTGACACAGGGCCCATCGAGCATGCCTTACCCTTCCTCTTTCCCCATAGTCTGTATCAAAAAAAAAGCTGCTTCAATCTGATAACAACATGGCTAGATTTCAACACTGTCCGTCTGGAGAAGGTTGTGTGGTGTGTGTCTGTGTGTGTGTGTGTGTGTAGCAGGAGGATGGGTGAAGGGGTTCAAAGTTGCATTCTCAAAAAAAAAAAAAAAGGAGCATTACTTTATTGAATAAGGACGCTGGTGCTTGAGAGCAAGAGGATTGCAGTGCAGCAGCGCTCCTCATCTGAATGCGAGTCATGTCCCGTTTGCTAGAGAGCACGCTGTGTAAGTGACTACTACACTGTTTACATTGGGAGGCTGGTGACACGTTTACTGCCAGCAGGACACTGCCCCGTCTGAGGATGAAGTATAGTGTGCAAACATATGGAATTTGGTAAACTGGTGTGATTTTCCCGAACCAATGCCAAGGTGTCAGCCCAAGTGAAAACATAAAAACGATCTGATTAAAGATTAAACAGTGTATTCTTCCCGAGATATCAAAGCACAGTGCGTTTTCCCTGCGTCACTAAAGATAAGTAGGAAGCGTGACAGACAGTTGGGAAATCATTCATTATTCACAGTGGGGCTCGAGGGGAGGGACGACAGGGAGGAGGGTGTCTGGGAAGAGGAGGGTGGGGGTTAAACTGGGAGCGATCGGCTGGACCAATAGCAGGTGGGCAGGGGAGGTTCTAATCCCGATGATTGACATGTTATTGAGTCTGGAGCAGAGATGGTAAACAAGTCCTCTCTTGAGCAGGCATTCGGAGGGGGGAGTCGTAACCATAGTGATTAAGCACGGCTTTTCCACAGATTTCGGAGAAACCATAAGTTAAGGGAAAACCA